ATGATACATCATAAACCTAGAAGGGAAAGAAAAGATATTCAACTTATTTTGTTTGCCTCTCACTACAGGTAATTATGTTAGTATAGAAGTGCTGTTTTTATTCAAGCACACGTGATCACTGTTTACTGTTTACCCTTAATTTTCATCGTCTAATCCTAACAGTGAATTCTATAGAAAAACAAGCTATTTATCAAGTTATTGAGATTATTATTGAATCAACAACCTTAAATTTTACTGTTTCATAATTTTACTTTCCTCGAAGATTAAAATTTTAAGAAAAATGGAATTATTTCTTAAGAAGGAGTACACTTTGCAACTTAATAAACTAGTCAAGGTAGAACCAATCGGGGAACGACATTAACTGAAGAGCAAGTGGAAACCCAGGAGGGTTGGAAATCTGTTTCGTCCTAGTATGAGACTCCTCAGCAGTAAGCACGCTCGACTCTGTCTTGTAAGAGATCAAATTCAGCACCTTCAGGTTTCATGGTGAACGCGTTAACCATTCAGCCACAAGGTCTGTGCCAAGTCGACAGTTTTCTTGCTCTTGTCAAGTTGTGATATAACGGGACTATCCACCGAGGTCCTCACTTGGCATTCACTTCGCTTCTAACTGATTGACTCCACAGATAACGAATTCTAGTTAGAACTTCAGGATATCCTTCTCGAAGCATATCACAAATGAGTACTGTACATTAATGTGGAAAGTAAGACGTTGAAGAGATACACTATATCATGAACCTCGTACATGGGGGTTATCGAGTCAGAAGTTAAGCAGATGTCAACTTGAAACCTTGGTGGATGGTCGCACTATATAATAAATTGACAGAAGTGGGAAACTGTGAACCATTCACTTCTGACTTAGTGGGTGAATTGTTGACGCTTTCGTCCTGAAACCTAAAATTGTTGAGTTCGATCCCCGGGAGAGATGAGGAGTCAGTCTATGGTGAAATCTACTTTAAAAATAAAACCCCTATTAACCTGAAAAATACATAAACTAATTAGAAATTTTTTTTTGTTTTTCTGTATTTTTCCCTGATCGAATTTTGTAAAAGAAAGAAAGTAAAGCACTTAGAACAAATACTTTCAAATAAAGACTAGTATAGTATTAGATGAGATGATTCCTATGGGTGGCTTGTTTTTCGTGCCATGCTTATTGCTACTGATTTATGCATAAATTGATGTCTTACTCGTGAAAATGCCTTCCTTAAATTTGGCTTGTCAATGGTTTCATTTGCATCTTTTGTATAGAAAACGCAATGTTAGATATGTTTCTTGTAAAGCTTAATCGCTCAAGTTACAAAGAAATAAATGGTGATGTAAAGGAAATTAAAAGAAAACTGTAGAAGGCTTTTAATCTTATTTGTTCTGCGAAAAAAAGGAGACTTTTACATGAAGTCAAAAAGGTATTATCACTAAGATACTAAATAAATAATGAAGGGGTTTTGAATCCTTAAGTAGTAATCTCTATTTGAATGTATCGGTCTACGATTCGTTACCTATCTAAATAGATACATTTCTTTTACAAACGGGGTGATAATATTTGGTTATTCGTCAATTCTGAGTCTTGCTTAATCTATAACCGGGTAATTTTTTGAGAATGAGAGGCAGTTTTGGAGTAGATCTTGTTTTGACAACATAGAATGATGTACACATATTATGTAATAGATTTTCGTAGGATTTATATGTTGAGAAGGAATAGATTTCATAACGAATTTATCCAAGTAACAAGTCATCAATTTTAAATCTCTGAAAGGTAGTCTATGAACATAATCGCTTATAATTGACTTATTTTGTACTAAAAGTTCATCATACTGAATAGAATTAATTTACTAGCACAAATAAGAAAGTTAGTAATGAATCAATCTTCGCCATAAATGCACTCAGTATTAGAAAATGTAGCTAAGTAAACTGGTGACTTTTATAACTCTTTGGGAAGTTACTCACTGTTTACATTGATTCCATCAGTTATACTATACACGAAGCCTTAGAAACAAGACGGTAGTGAGTAACAGAAACTTTCACACTAATTAGAGGTGATGAGTTGAAATCCAAATATTTGATCAAGTATATCGCTCTCTTGAAAATGGTTATACCTAATTATCCATTGTCTTTCAGCTTAACAAGACAAGCAAAGAAAGGTAGTCCCCTATTTCCGTTTCTTTTTTGTGTGCTGAACTTGATTCTGGGTGATCTAGAGTTCATGTGATCTAAGAATTCCTGGGATAAGTCAAATTTTGAGATTACAAGTGTCATCAACATATCTCAGCCAAATGTTTGGCTTTACCTAATGATTAAAGACACTTTCTTCGAATTTACCCTACGATAAGTTAGTTACTATGCGTGAAACAGATGAAACGCCAGTTTGCCTATACAGGTTTTCTTCATATACGAAGTAAGTACTCTCTAAACAGAATTCTAGGACCTTGGTGACGCAACCGATATTCAGTGAACATCTTTATGTCAATGCTGTATCTGAGTCTGATAAATTAGCAATAATATCTGGGCTATCATTAAATGGAATACTAGAACATAAACAGTTGATGTCATAGCCTGCAATAATTTTATCTTCTTCAATTTTAAGCGAAGACATTTGGGATTTAAAATCAAGTGAGGCCTTTATTGTATATTCTGAGGGCTTTTTTAGGGGTTAAGTATTTGGAGAGCTTGTATGTTAGTGAAGTCCACAATTGGTTTCAGTGGAGCGAATCTTGGGTAGACCGTAAACTCTTGAACGTATGTACTACATAGGTTTGAAACTGAACCAAATTGATCTGCCGATTATGGATTTCAGTTCTTGAAGTAGTCTATTCCTTTCAACTTCACTTTATTTAGTTCGGCTGATCTTTTCTTTTCATTAATAAAAGTTTATGGTCGTTCAGATAATTGTTTACTTATTCTCTTCTCATAATCCATTTCCTTCATAATGACTGTTACATTCTTTTTATCTGCTTTTGCTATCATAATATTCTTGTCTTTCGACAAATTTCTCAGGACTTGAAATTCTTGTTTGGTGTTGTTAGTAGGTGTATATTTTACAATGTGAGGATTTTTGAAATTTTTCACTTACAATCTGCACCTCGTCGTTTGGTAGGGATTCCAAAGCCGGTTCGATGATCGGTGCTATTTCATCAGTTAATAATAGCTTTCAGTTGATGTTGAAAATGAGACTTTTCTGTAATAATGAAATCTCATTTTTACTTAGAATCTTATCTGACATGTTGTATACTGAGTTGAGTTCTCGTATTATGATTTGGTGTTGGTTCCGTATGTTTTTGTACAGTTAATTTGAAAAATTTCTGGATTTGCCTTTTATTTGGCTACATTTTAAAAATGTGATTCCAGTTCTTGGAACAGTTTGTGAATAGATTCAAGTCCCAGTTGAAAAAATTTATTTCGTTTTATATTTACTGAGAGATACAAATACCAAAATGATAACTGATACCTTCTTGACCTCTTAGAGACTACCATTTTTTGTGACAGGAATCTGTAATCATACTTACTCGAAACCCCTATAGACTGTACTTTCGTCTTCAAACTTTGTTAATCCTCAAGATCTACTTTGCGAGAGGTTATTAACTTAGGTATGTGTTTGTTAAGAAGGTTACAATATACCTTTCCTATAAACTTAAAGAAGTGTGAATAGATGTTAATGTTTTTCGAACTACATCGAAAGAGATGAAAAATGTTTGATGTCAGGTCGAATCGAACATCTAACAAGTAAAAGTATTTACTTATTTTATTTTATTTATCCCTTGGGTTCTCAGTGGAATATACCGCTACAGTAGCACGTCTCCAGTCCACTCTCTTCTCTGGAATCACTTGAACCTGGCTCCACGACAGACCACAACCTCTCATCTACTCCTCACACCATCTCCTCCATCTCACCCTCACCTCCCACACCCAACTCGTCGCTTCCCATAGGGGTTCAACTCGACTACCTCGCCTGACGCGTGATGTTCACAATCGGTCTTCTCAGTGTATTCCCAATACAATCCATCTCCTTTTTCCTTCTGCATATTTATTGAGTGACAGGTTGTTGGTTGGTTCGTTGCCAGCCAGCCAGGCATAGTTCCTTGTTGCTTATTCTTATTACTCTGACCATCTGATCTTCGGTGTCAGTATCGAGCCAGCGAAGGCAGTTGTTGATGAATGTGCTTCCCAGATAGATGACTGAGTCTACTTCCTTTAAGTCTCTCCCGTTCATGGGGATTCGAGCTTGTCATTGTTGGTGTTCGTGTTGGTTGGGTATCTTCATCACCACTGTCTTCTCTACGTTCACTTGAGGTAGTGAAGTGAAGGTAGAGATTGCTTTATTTTCACAGTTCCAAAAGAATGAATCATTTAAGGGAGACTAAGATGATAAGACTCATCTAAATATATCACTATGACAGACTATTGAATTTTCTCATTTTACATTGTTCTTTTAATTTTTATAAAGAATAATTGGATTCTAGAAACTTAATTTTAGTAAAAACAAATGACATGCCTTATTCAATGACTTATGATTAAGCATAAACCTTAACCAATGAAATAGTAGCAATAAGTGAACAATTAACCTCTTGATGACTGATTGACTCAATTTTCTATCGGTTGCGTTATAAGATCTAAGTGAATATAGATGTAAATCTCAGTTCAGTCGGTCTGATATTATCTACAATATGCACAATACTATCTAACTACCAAAATATTTTCATTTCAGTCACCATTTATCTAAATTAAAAGAAGGGGAACATTGATCAGATTGTAAGGATAAGTTAAAACATCTCCTTTTTCTAAGTTATTATTAGGGATTCTTAACACTGATAGCTTAAAATATTAATCAAGCAACAGATGACTTTACAATGAATTAGACATTGAATTCATTCCATTTTATCAATGAAACTAAAATAAATACTCAAAGTATTTGTAAATACCTATGCAATATTGATTTTTAATTTGACTTTTTCTACGAATAAGTTTGTTATTTCTTTCGATATATTTTTATATTCTTCTTTTTTCAGAGAGGTGAAAATGTAAGAAAGTACAGAGAGGAAGTAAGCTGCTTCAATATTCTTTTTCAGATTTATAGATTCATTCACTATGATTACATGAATTGATTTCCAAGTGTATTGTATCGTTTATTATTTGTTCAGTGAAGTTAGTAGTTGAAAAATCTATTGTATTGGATCAATTAGGTTTCTCTGATAGCTTCAAGGATAAGATTTTTCGTTTGACCACCTGGATGCATGCATATTAGTTTACCTTCTATTGAGACCGTGTACAAGGGACATATGAGGCATGTTTTTTTCGGAAGCAAGCATAGGAACATCATTTCGCATGAATTTGAATAAGTGAAAGGAGGTCAGTCAAAAGTGTGATAGTCAATTAATGTTATATTATTATTATTTATCCCTTGGGTTCCTAATGGAACATACGGCTTCAGTAGCACGTCTCCAGTCCACTCTCTTCTCTGGAATCACTTGAACCTGGCTCCACGACAGACCACAACCTCTCATCTACTCCTCACACCATCTCCTCCATCTCACCCCCACCTCCCACACCCAACTCGTCGCTTCCCATAGGGGTTCAACTCGACTACCTCGCCTGACGCGTGATGTATCCAGTCGACATTCTCAGTGTATTCCCAATACAATCCATCTCCACTTCCTTCTGCATATTTATTGAGTGATAGTTTGTTGGTTGGTTCACTGCCAGCCAGCCAGCCAGCCAGAGTTCCTTGTTGCTTATTCTTATTACTCTGACCATCTGATCTTCGGTGTCAGTATCGAGCCAGCGAAGGCAGTTATTGATGAATGTCTGTAGTTTGTTGTAAATGCCTTTCGTAACGCGCCAAGTTTTTGAACCATATAGAAGCACTGACTTGACTGATGTTGGGGTTTAAAATCTGGATGTTGTTCACGCTTTATGCTGGCTAAGTGCGGAAGATCTCCACACTGGTTTCAGGCTAATGAACGACAGCCTTGCTTTCCAATCCTCTTCAGTGATGCCTGTAGTTGAAATAGTGCTGCCTAGGTGATGGGTGAAAGAGTCTACTTCCTTTAAGTTTCTCCCGTTAACGGTGATTGGATTGAACCAGCTTAATTAGATGATATAATAACCATTTCTAAAATGATACGAAATATTTTCTACGTTTCGCTTAACACATACACACAGACACACTATGTTTCATGTTGACAAGTTGCAAACAAACTAACCTCCGATAACTAATCAACAGTTGTATAGCAATCCCTACTGCATTAGGTACTTCCTAATTGCACTTTTGTCACAACAGACTATTGGAATAAATGTGATAAAAGAATAGACCAGAACAGAAGAGTTTTTTTCAGTTTTAGGAGATAAAACTTGTCTGACTGGATAAATTAAGCTTAGTAACAAAAATTAAATTTCCTCGATCAATCAATAAAGTGGACACTTTTACGAGGTGACAAATAAGTATCATATTTCTTGTTGATTTTTTTTCATTAAACTGAAATATGATTAGTTCGGCTGACCTTGTTATGTGTTTATTTGGAAAGGATAGAAAATTTGATATCAATGCAATACTTTTAACATGTAAAAACACTATGTAGAGCAAGTTTTATAGTTCCATTTTGACATTTTTTGAAGTTAGTTGATAGTAACCAGTTAAAGGTGTTAGACAAAACCAAGACTACAGTCTTGGTTTTGAAATAGTGAAAAATATTTGACGCTTAGGTGGATAGTCTTGGTTGTATTGTGTTCTTTCGTGAAGCTTTCATCGTCTTGCTAGACAGCGATATCATCAGCATCAACTTCATACTGAAGTATGACTCGATGCTGACACTGAAGATCAAATCAGATCGGATCAGATGGCCAGAATAATAAGAATAAACAAGGAGGAACTCTGACTGGCTGGCTGATTGGCGACGAATCAACCAAGACGCTTTCATCCAACAAATATGCAAACGGAGAATGTGGTGATGGATTAGATTGAACATATAGTGGGAAGACCATTTGGAGATATCACACGCCAGGTCAGGTCAGGCCACATCCTCGAGTGGAACCTAAGTGGGAAACGACGAGTTGTGCTTCCGAGATGAGGGTAATATGGAGGAGATGATGTGAGGTAGAAATGAAAGCTTGTGGGTAGTCGTTGCGTCAGGTTTTGAAGAATGCAGAGAAGAGAGTGGAATGGAGGCGTGCTACTGAAGCCCTTTGTTTCACTAGGAACCCAAGAGACAAATAATAATAATAACAATAATAATCTTTTAGCTACCTCGCTTTATGGTACTACGAATAGTATTTATTAGGATCTAACTACGTCAACGTTCAACAAGTTGCTCCGCACATTTATTTTTACAATGGATGAAGTACAATTTCTGTGGGTTGAACCAAATTTATTTCGTGTACTCTTAATCTTCCACGTAGGCACTCAAAGTTGTGTACAATAGGCTATCAGTAGACGGTATGTCATTTGATATATTTCATTAGTAAAATCAACAGCAAATACATCTTTCACATCTAGACATCAATACATAGTATATATGAGAACAGAAGTGAATGACAAAGTTCACGACCTAATCAACCAATACAAGGATCAAGTAAAATAACACATGAGACTACAAAATCGATTACCAATTACAAAGGACATAGTGCCACGTTATAGTGTTGCAGGAATGTGATTGCATCTCCAAATGATAAGAGTTACGATAAAGGGGTGAGAACATTTAAAAGAATGATGTGCAAAATGTATGAGTTATTGGTACAGAATTGGAAAAGGATGTACTAAAAACCACGATTAAGATATAATGTATTAAAGTAAATGGAAAATGATGCTTAAGAAGAATATGTAAGAGAAGAAGATGAAAGAAGTAAGTAAAGCTATAGGTAAAGGTAAAGGATAACTCATTGACGTAATGTAAGACAAACCGCAAGCTCATTTTGTATATGTACCTTTTGTTTAAGTCGATAGACTGTTGTTGCTGCTTCTACATAACGTAGCAGTCTACCACCCTTTTGTCTGGTGATTACCTTGAAAGATATGTTTGAATTGACGGTATGATCTGTATCACGGGTATGAGTACCAATGGCACTGCATAGTATAATAATAATAGTAGTAATTATGGAGAATATTTGTAGCTCAGGTGGATGGTCTTGGTTGTATTGTGTTTTCTCAGCTGGGTTGTTTAATCATGAAGCTTTCATCGCCTTACTAGACAACATCATCAGCACTAACTTCAGTATGAAGCGACTTGTCAATATCTCTCCATCAGTGAGTGATTTAGTAGCTTGCTCTGACAATGTGGTCTGTGATTGGTTGTTTCCTTCGATTGTTATGTCATTGATTGCATAGATTTTCCATTTGGCTGTCCCTCTGCTTGGTCTGCATGATAAACATACGGATAATAAACACTATTATGGAGACCAAACGACCCAACAACCAAAGAAGACAAACCGAATATCATTTACAAAATCAGCAGCAATAACTCTAGTCAACACTATATTGAACAAAGTGACCACCCTCTTCGCCTTCGTCATTTACATGAACCCCGATTGCCTATTAAACGTCACGACATATCGTCACTTACTTCAATGCATGTGGATAATTGTGGACAATGTAGAAATCTGGGAGGGAAAGAGGAAACACAAAGAATGTCAGAGAATTTCTAGAATCTTGGCATTCAAGTCAGTCAATCAGTCAGCAATCAACAGATGTATAGACATAGACCCGATCTATCAGTGAGTAAGAAAGTTGATAAACAACAGAAAGGTGAGAGGTCAAGCAGAGGGACAGCCAACAGGGAAGTCTTTACAATCAATGACATAACAATCAAAGGAAACAACCGACCATAGACCACTTCGTCAAGGCAAGCTATTAAATCACTCACAGCGAGGTATTGACAGCTCACTTCATACCATAGACTTAGTTTTCCTGTAAGCATTTAGGATCAGACAACGTGGTCGTTACTATTTCACAGTGAACTCAATATGTTTTGTCGGTTTCCTTTAAGTTGTTCAGGTAGTTGATTATGTAACGTGAACATAGTTCCTAACAAAAATTGTCCATTAAACCAATACCCAAAACTCATTGGTACTGAAAATTCAGGCAGCTCTTCTGTTAGCTCCTCAACATTAGTTCTGTCTGCTTTTTTCTTTGTACATACAGTTAATCAACAGGAGCAGAAAAGCAATTAACAGATATTCATATATCTAAGTCTTACAAGTAATCATAGGTCCAGATAATCCCTCTGCTTTAAAATACATTGAAAGTTATTACACTGTAGCCTTCTTGATAGCAACCATGCATTAAAAAAAACAGTAAGATCAAACAAAATTCCATTGGTTCAGCTGACACTAGTAACTCTTTTTCCTCTATATCCTCCCTTTCCGTATATATCAGTTGAACCTTTTGTTCAGTGACGTATACTTCTCTCCATTTTGGTTATTTGTGTTCACTAAACTGCATTGAACTCTGCACTAACAACTGACTTACCTATTTTTTAAAATAGTTTGAGCACTCAGTTTACCATGCGACACCATGAAATTGAATATGTTATTCTACAAATAATAAGGACCATCAAACTTTTATGCATCGAATATTTATATGTTTCAACTATGAAACTGTTAAAACCCCGTCGCCACTTGTTGTGTCCTTGTAGTGACTACTTGGAATAACCTGAGTATAATATTTATTTGTGTGTGACAGTTTGCCCATTTGGACAACAATCTTCAGATTCAACCCCTTTATGGCCGCCTAGTTCCTCTGTAAATACAGAAAAGCGGTAAGATAACAGAAGGTACATTACTACATTAATATATATATACAAAATAAAATGGTTCATATATATTTACCGTGATCTTGACTATTTCCAGACCTTTCTAGATAAAAATATCTTATTGATTTTAGTCTGATATTAACACGTTCCTTCATGTGTTTTTTCCTGAAACTCTGGAACAAAATGATTGGTTGTAAAAGGCTTCAGAGATTTATGGCTTCCATGAATGTCACGGAAATCGTATTCCACATTATAAGTTCTTAGGTTAAATAATATGTATTTTTGACAGCTAGACTCTTGCTGGACGCGATAAAAACTGACTACACTTAGAAAAGCTGGTTAGCGGAAGCAAGAGTGAGATACAATGACTCGATATGTGTAAGTAGGTCAAAGTTATTAGCCGTCTTATCCAGTGAGATAGTAGCTCTATAATAAATAAGCCGAATTAAGCTTTAATGTGGGTTAGTAGGTTGAATTCATTAGCTTATAAATAAAATCCTTCTTGACGGTGATTTTGAATATGTTGAAGTGTACGTTGCTAACAGAATTCCAGAAAATGAGGATTGACCATCGAAGTCACATTGCTATTCAAATAAATCTTTGACAAGCTTATACCAGTTGAACTGAACGAAATGTGAGAAACTGGAAATTTCAGACTTTTTATGATTGACTTCATAAAGCATTTCAGTGATCTTTAGTTTTCATTGTTTTCTATCTAAATTTTTCAAGTTTTCAATAGTCTATAGCTTCATTTATCAAGAAAACGGCAAGATAATGTAGAAACTACCATGATCAAAGTGGGTCAGAAGCTTATAAAAATAAAAGTTGCATCATAGTAAGGGGTGAAGCAAATGGAGAAAACTATGTACAGCATACTACTAGGCAAGTTAAAAGACGTGTTAGTGGATATCTACCTTCATAATTGGCAAAGGGACAGATAAAGTCTGTAAGAAGCTCTGTTCCATCTCATCAGGTTGATAGTAGTCACTTATTAATTGAGGAACGAAATCAAGATTATCTACCACATATCATCTAATCTTTCGAAAGTTATTTGAACTCATCTTTTGTAAATAACAGAAGCCAAGAAAATTTGAGTTACCAATCCTAGTCTTTGTATCCAGAAGAAGTTTGTACATTCCATATCTCTCCTTCTGCCGGAGGAATACTTAATGAACAAATTTGATATTAGAATTTTCCTATCTCTTTCTTATTCTTTACCTCTATCACATACTTCATTTGTTTAGACATTGTTCATCCAATTACATCGTGCAACTTTTATTTTTCTAAGCTTTTGACCCTATTTGATTGTCATAGTTTTATTTTATCGTTAAAATTGTTCAGATTAACATGACAATAACTGTTGCATTGTAAGTAGGTCTATACAAAACCCAATTCACTATTCTCTGATATTTCACTTTTATATTGATCAAACGTTCTCTGTGTTTTTGTTTGTTGCCTTTTATTAGACTTTACCATTTGATTACAAATAATTAGGTGCTTAAATAAGAGACCCTTATTGTTATATTGGAACACTTGTAAAGTCGCCTTATTGCACTCATATTTTGTTAATCTCTTCAATACCTAGTCGTAAGCTGGAAAGTTTTCATTTACTTTCTTCTTTCAATGCAATTGGTTATTCACCTGGCTTATATCAGCTTTTGGCAACTGTCTACCAGATCGATAAACTGTACTTTTTTTCATATTAAACGCTGATGTAGTGGTGACTGGACATAACAGATGCTGCTTCAATGACAACTGTAATATCAGTTCTGGTACATATATCCTTGGGGATGAACAGTGTTGAGAACAATACTAAAGCAGAGCAACCTACTGCGATTAAACGTAATCTGTTATTATTATTTTTTTAAATTGATAAACTTCAAGGAAAAATGAACAAAAACCTCAGAGGTGACTGTCTCTATACCACTTTGTTCCTCATAGATATCCGAATAAGTTGAGAGTTCTAACATGAGGCGTGTCACTAGCTTTGGCTTTAACTATGAAATATTGTACATTGCATTGAAACAACTAGAAGATAGGTTAATTAACCTGTTTTTATATCAATAATGGATATTGGCCTGTCGTGTGACCAAAGATGCACGTTTTGTCCTATTTGAGAATCGTTAGCTGAATGTACCTGCCTCTCAGTGAGTGATTTTGTTCCCACTAAGATACGAACACGGTCCAATAAACGACATAGTAGTATAAGTAACTATATAACCTGTTTGTTCTTTATTTTACTTACTCTACACCCTAATGTCATTTTGTCTATTTAGAGTGGTGCCAGAATTAACATATCGGACGGTTCTAGTCCAGAACGAATTGTCACTATCACCGGAACTACTGAACAAATCTATACAGCATTTACACTAATGAGTCGAAAATTTGAAGATGTAAGTCAGATGTTTTCATTAACAGTTTAACTATGAGCAGTGAATAATTTCTGGCAAGCTAAAGAATCATTTACAAATTGCTTACTAAACAAGATGCAAAATAACAGCCATTATCATTATTATTATTTGTCACTTGTGTTCCAAATGGAACATAGGGCTTTAGTAACACGCCTTCAGTCCACTGTCTACTCTGCAATCACTTAAACCTGGCTCCACGACAGCCCACAACCTCTCATTTCTTCTTCGCACGACCTTCTCCATGTCACCATCACCTCAGACACCCAACTCGTCGTTTTCCATCTGGGTTCCACTCGAGTATCTCGCCTGTCGCATGATGTCCTCAATCGGTCTTCTCAGTGAATACACAATCCAATCCATCTCCACTTCCTCCTGCATATTTGTTCAGTGATAGGTTGTTGGTTAGTTCGTCGCCAGCGCAGAGTCCTTTGTTGCTTATTCTTATTATTCTGGCCATCTGATCTTCAGTAACAAGACAGTGTACGTGGCAGTTGTTGGCGAATGTCTGTAGTTTGTCGTAAATGTCTTTCGTAACGCGCTTAGTCTCTGAGCCATATAGAAGCACTGACTTGACTGGTGTTGACGTTGAAAATCCGGATCTTGTACTTTATGCTGAGTGCAGAAGATCTCCACACTGGTTTCATAGCCATAGTTCATTCATTATACACTTATGATTTATTTTTATGCGTAGCCCTGTTTAAATTCCTTTTAACGTAATGATTTTCCGTAGGCTGAGTAAATTTATCACTTGATTACTTTAATCTTAGAATGAACCCAAGATTTGGAGCAAACATCTGTGTCTTACAGTGTTAACAAGTGCTAGTTGATGAGACAATGACAAATTAAAGAATTGGTTTACTTGTATAAACCTGAAACCAATTTTTTCCACTTGTATTAAGAGCGAAATCATCAGATAAACGTCAACTACATAACAGTTAATGTGAGCACACTTAACTTCCAAATGATGAAAGGAATAGACAAATCAACTGATGTACTCCAGTCACCAGACTGAGCAACTGTTTATCTCAACCGACTTTCTTTAGAGTTTAATAGTCATATAGAATGAATACGAAGTTAACTACCATTATTACTATGGCATATAAATATTGAAAGCGCTGATTAAGCATTACTGACTATTTTTAACTGGTTGATCAACTAAAACTTAAGAATCTCAACTGGGATATTGCAAATAGCTAAACAAATAGCAGATAACTTAGTATTCAATGAACTGATGAATCAACAAATACACAGAGTACGTTCATCGAAGGATAAATAGGATTAAATGCTACTATTCACTTAGGTCAACATGGGTGTAAGTTAATGAAATTATTTATTCACCCCGTAAAATTTATTATATGCTAATTTTATAAATGAACAATCTATTTGATGTATGTTTCAAAACCCTGAAAAGTCAAATGTTCAACTATGGATTAAACTTATCCAACTAAAAGACGTGGAAAAGAATGAGGAGAATTCCATATAATATTTACTTGCATATTTATTTACTTCTTGAATAATATAACATAATATATAATATATTATAATATAATATAATAATAATATAATATATATAATATATATATAATATATATAATCATAATATAATGCTGAAACAATCATATTTATGTAATCACAAAACTTCCCACATCTATTTTTTACACTCCTGTCGTCTATTGTTGGTGGCATAATTTTGCATATACTTGATATAGGTGTTCCGTCAATTCTGTCACGTGTGTTGTATGTTGATTTGATGAACAAAGAAAGATTCAGTGAACAATCTCTCTCCATCTCCACCTAATTATATTGCACTTGAGTAGAGTGGCAGTATCTCACCCTTTTGTATGCTTGTGTATTATTGTTTGCATTACAACAGTGGAGATCTTTTCTACATTATTGATCTTATTGGTATCTGTCATTCTACATTTGACTAAATTACGATAAATTCCGATATTCTAATTCACCCTAACAGGCTTGTTTACCTATGCAATTGACTTCACAGTCATTATATAGAATTTGATAGATTACATTATCTTGCTTAACTGGTTCTGTCAGATCCTTAAGCCGACAAAGCTTATCTCTGAGTGAGTTTATAGGTTTAAAAGACACCTTCATTTCAGCTTTGTTGTAGATCGCAAGTGAACTTTCTAATGTACCTTCCTTATAGGATAACATAATGGAGGCTGTGAACTCCTTTTTACTTGTGTTGTCGTTAATATTCCTACTCGTTTTCCTGTTATTAATTTACTTCTTATGTGTTCTTACGATTTTCTGAATGAACTGTAGAGCATAATTTCGAACTATTATAGCTTCTTTAATGTGTTTCAGTTCCTTGTTTAAGTCCGTACACCGACTAGTTAGTTTTCTAGCCGTATAATTTAAACATTTGACTAAATCTGCCTTACTACCAATAGAAACAAATAATATGAGGTGAAGTTCATCATACTGTATTGCTGTTCGATGTATATTAAGTGAGCAAATCTAATATGGAGTCAATTTCTACTACACTATTCAAGTTCAACACTTCATGAGGAGAATTGTTTCAGTGTACATTGAAAATTTGGACAACCGTTACGTTGTGTAATTACTATTTCCGAAGGCTGAATCACTTGAGGAGAAACAACAATATAAGAAAACGTCAACTTAACCACATTTTCCTTCTGTGATGAAAACTGACCAAGAATTTCTTTTTTCAATCATTTGTGAGATCTGTTTCATCAAAATTTAACCACGTAAAACATGACAATCTTCATCCATTCTTGCCTGTGAGAGTTAGTCTTTTCACTCGAATTCCAAAGGGTTTGTCCTGAATCTACCGTCTAATTAGCATCTTTCCAAACTGAGCAACTCTTTAGCATTACCAGCAATCAATCAGTATGAATAAGAATCATGGACAATTCCATACAGTCAACGTAATCCATAGTATTTGAGTTGCATTTCTATCATAAATTGATGCTTTACTACTCACTTTTTATTTCAGTAATCATCGATCTGTGAATGACTATAAAATCTTAGAAAGCATTAACTATTGTATGTGTTTTTTAAAAGTGTATTGAAGCTTAAGAAAAGAGTGAACAGGATTTTCTTTGCGCACGTCTAAGTTTTTCATGAGTCCACTAGAATATTTCTTTCAGAAGGTTTTGTTAGCCACGTAAATGCTTCAGAGTTGAAGAAACAAGCTAACACTAGTGTAAGTGTACTGTTGTCAATCCGAAAAAGAATATTAATCTTATCAGTTATTATTGCAATTTTTTTTTTACACATCTTATTACTTTCATCTATTTTCAGGATTTTACTCAAGGTCTGTTACGAATGGGTGATGAAACAGTTAGCTGTCCACCAGTTACATTACGCTTATTAGTTCCAGTTACTCAATGCGGTTCAATAATTGGCAAGGGTGGCTCTAAAATCAAAGATGTTCGTGAGGTAAAATTACCACCTTTTGTACAGTTTGCTTTGATAACAAAAATAAAATTTTTTGTATTATAGTTAAAATAGCTAATTATCTATTAGGCCTTTATAAATCTTCTGATCGATAACAATGGAATTTAGACTGTTATTGTTTTCAATTGCATAACATTTGATGAGAGAGAATCCACTAGGATTGTTTCATTGATTAATGTCTGTTCTATTGCCAATTCGAAATTCGATTTAGTAGGTTAAAATGATCAACAGTAAATAGCTTCAAAATTACTAACGAAATAGTATCTAAGTGCATTATGTATACTTCCCAGTGAATATTCAGTTCTTATCAGAAAGTTGTGACGACTTCATTCGGCATATTATAGTTGTTCAACAGACGATATAGTTGGGATAAATGCATATTTCTCCACTGTAATATGTTTTTATTGGGAATTTTTTATCTTCCCTGTCGTTATCATAGGAGACTTGGTTCATCGTTATACTTTGGTAAATTAGTATATCATGAGGAGGCTTAAGGACTACTCATGAATAAATCTATTACAGTAATGGTATGTAGGACTTTTGAAGTTAAGACAGGAAGGAGTAGGACATGGCTGTCTGCCATAATGACCCACGATCTTTCTCATTACGGTCGACTGGATCATGCAAGAAACAACTGTGAGGAGCGAGATGAGGGGGATATGCTGGACCACAAAAAACAACCTAGAAGACTTGGATTTGACCAACGACTTGTATCTAATGTCACACAAACTCGAAGATCTACAGGAGAAAACTAACAAGTTGACACAAGAGGCGAGGCAGAGAAGGAAGACGGGACTCCAACTGAGAACGTGGAGAAAACAGAGAAGATGAAGATACCCAACCAACATGACCATCACCACCACCACCAACAACAACAAGCTTCAATCACTATCAACAGGAGGAACTTGAAGGAAGTAGCCCCCTCCACCTGTCTACGCAGCAATGTTTCAACTACAGGCAGCACAGGCACAGACGAGGACGTCGAAACCAACCAGGATCGGAGAGACAACAAGACAGGCATTGAATAATCTGAAACCAGTGTAGAGATCTTCTGCACTCAGAATAAAGTGTGAACATCATCTGTATTTTCAACACCAACACCAGTCAAGTCAGTGTTTCTGTATGTTTCAGAGACCTGGCGCGTTACGAAAGACATTTCCAACAAACTACAAATATTCATCAATAACTGCCACGTACACTGGCTCTATACTGAAGATCGATGAGATGGCCAGAATAATAAAAATAAGCAACAAGGGATTCTGAATTGTCAACGAACTAATCAACAACCTATCACTGAACAAATATGCAGAAGGAAGTGGAGATAGATTGGATTGTGCATACACTGAGGAGGCCGACTGTGGACATCACTCATCAGGCACTTGAGTGTTACCCAGATGGGAGATGACGAGTTGAGCGTTCAATGTGAGGGTGACATGGGGGAGATTGTGTGACGAAGAAATGAGAGGTTGTGAGCTGTCATGGAGCCAGGTTGAAAAGATTTCAGAGAAGAGAGTGGAATGGAGACATGCTACTGAAGCCGTATGTTTCACTGAGAACCCAAGGGTCAAGTAATAGATATTTAGTAGAATGGTATGTAGGCAGCAATGGTGATCACTCAATTTTGCAAATAATAGTGAAGATTTGGTACATTATAAACAAGTCTGGTTGATTGTAAGAGATGGGTTCAACTTACCAAAACCCAGGAATAAATTAAACTACTTGACAAAACAAAACAAGCCATGGACTGATATATACTTGCTGTTCCAGAATATATCATTGCAAATAAATCATATGAATGAAACTTCTACAAAATTTTGAGTCTGTAAAATGGTTTCCCATAAAACGGAAAGAAAATCTCACTAAAAGCAGTTAACTGGCTTACATTCATATTTTGGGTCACTATGTTTGTTCGCAACTGTGGTTATATGAGTATACTGATTCTGTAGTAAGTACATGGGCACCGTTTAACCTTCACTTGATCAAAATATCAGTTGTTTTCATCTCCAACAAAAACTGACTACGTTATACACTGTATTCTATAATGTCAATTGTTTCACTGTCACTAAACAGCAGTAGATCGTCATTAGATACAGGAACACTTCATTGATATATCTTAAGAGTTACATTCATTATAAAAGCGAGAAATTTAAAAGTCAGATTGAATACATAGATAACATCAAAAAATAAATAGTTTTGCAGATCGATATACTTGACAATGATTACTTTTCATAAGCTATACAATAACAAAATGAATGCATGTGAAAATATTGCGTTTTCATCATGAAATCTTGCTTGTTTATGTTTATGTTATTATCTGCTATAATAAAATATAGTCATAAAATCCTTAATATGGTTTTGTCAATAGAACGGATTTTCTAAACCTCAATACTATTTATCCATTTATTTAACTAATGTAGCACTGGTTTTAAATCATGAATTGTAAGCCTTGTTCAGTGAAGAACAAGTTCAGTCCTTAAGAAGGTTTCATTAGATTTCTCAGATATTATCGAATAAATCATTGAAGGTTGAATAGCCAGAATCTTTTGGTTATATTGTGTTCTCTGTATGAAATAAGGGCTGATGATGGCATCTAGAAAGACAATGTAGGCTCCACGATTAAAAAACAGCTTAGCCCAGAAAACATAATGCAACCAAAACCATCCACATGAGCTACACATATTCGTCACCAATTCAAAGTTGGAATCTAGATGATGTGTTTAGTTTGAGTTGCTTTTTGTGTTGGGAAATGTTCTTGAATGCATCAAAGTATAACTTTTAAAGAAGGACATACGAGCTTGGCTATGTAGGATCTAATGAAGTAGTAAATCCAACAGCATTTAGTTTATCATCATCTTCGAGATCTAAATAGAAGTTCTTGTGAAGAGTACAATTGTATCCACTAGATGACCATTGGAAATAATGACGTACTTAGTGATTTCCACCAACGTCAAGTCGGTGCTTCTGTATGGCTCAGAGCCTTAGCACGTTACGAAAAAGATTTCCAACAAACTAAAGACATCCATCAACAACTGTCATCTACACTGGCTCTATACTGAAGATCGATGAGATGGCCAGAACAATAAAAATAAGCAACAAGGAACCCTGTCCTGGTGATGAACCAACGAGGAAGCTATTGTTCGACAAATATGCAGAAGGGAGTGGAGACAGACTTCACATACACTGAGGAGGCGAAATGGGGACATCACGCTTTATGCCAGCCGTCAAGTGTAACCCAGATGGGAAACGACGAGTTGGGTGTCCGATTTGAGGGTGACATGGAGAAGATCGTGCGAGGAAGAAATGAGAAGCTGTGGGCTTTCATGCAGCCAGGTTCAAAAGATTTCAAAGAGAGTGGAATGGAGACGTGCAACTGAAGCCGTATGTTCCACTGAGAACCCAAGCGACAAATAATAATAATAATATAGTGATTTCCATTACTCTAAAAACTCTTCAGTGTACGTATACTTACTTTACATGTTATATTCTGTCATTATATGCAAAACTACTTAAATATTCTCAAGTGAATTGACCTTATTAATGTGAACAATTATTTTCCTATTCAGTGGAATATATGATTATATAAATTAAGGCAATCGCGAAAATAATGAACCCGGTAACAATCTACGGATGAATGATGTTTACAGTTGACCTGAATTACAAAAACGTTACTTATGCTTGCGTAGTATGGTGAAATATTTTGCATTTGTTGTAGGATGGAGCTTGTTCAAAAGAGTAAAAACTCAGGTTGTCTTCAGGTTTAGTAATTATCTGAGCGAATTAACTTCATTCTGTAAAAATTAAGTCTACAACTCATATCATGAAGACAAAAGCTAGGTATTCAGTACAGTATGTAGGAATTTTAACTAAGAATGAAAGTAGTGTGATGACTGCGAAAGGATAGTTACTTTTCTCGTAAGTAAATAACACCCAACTGAAAACCTTGGTGATTGTGTATTGAGTGCTGTAGGTCAGAATAGGTATAAGCAATAGATGTTGATAGGATGGCAGAAATCGTAGGCAATAAACAGAAACGGGTAATTATTCTGCCCAGAGAAATGCAAGAGGCAATGTGGACGTATTAAGAGCAAATCAAGATAGACATAGAAGTGGAAATGAAGCATTTTATGCAAATGATTGTCTTAGTGGAAGGTGTACAATATTTGATGATTACAGTGCAAGATGTCAATACTAAATATTGCTTTCTCCGTCCTCATCTTATCGTTTCCGGAAATTGCAGTGAAATGTTTTTCGGTAACCAGATGAGTCGCATATTTCAGTCGATAAAGAGACAGACACATAAACTAATGTTATTACTTGTCCCTTCGGTTACTAATGGAACATACCGCTTCAGAAGCACGTCTACATTCCACTCTACTCTCTGCAATCACTTGAACCTGCCTCCACAACTGCCCACAACCTCTCATTTCTTCTCACACGATCTCCCCCATGTCACACTCACCTCGCATGCACAACTCGTCGCTTCCCATCTGGGTTACACTCGACGGCTGGTATAAAGCGTGATGTCCCCAGTCGGCCTCTTCAGTGTATGTCCAGTTTGTCTCCACCTCCTTCGTTATATTTGTGGAACGATAGCCTCCTCGTTGGTTTATTGCCAGCCAGATAGCCAACCAGCCAGCCAGCCATAATTCCTTGTTGCTTATTCTTATTATTCTGGCCATCTCATCAATCTTCAGTATAGAGCCAGTGTACGTGGCAGTTATTGGTGAATATCTGTAGCTTGTTGGAAATGTCTTTCGTAACGCGCCAGGTCTCTGAAACATACAGAAACACTGACTTGACTGGTGTTGGTGTTGAAAATACAGATGATGTTCACACTTTATTCTGAGTGCAGAAGATCTCTTCACTGGTTTCAGATTATTCAATGCCTGTCTTGTTGTCTCTCCGATCCTGGTTGGTTTCGACGTCCTCGTCTGTGCCTGTGCCGCCTGTAGTTGAAACGCTGCTGTCCAGATAGATGAAGGAGGCTACTTCCTTCAAGTTTCTCCTGTTGATAGTGATTGGAGCTTGTTGATGTTGGTGGTTGTGTTGTTGGTTGAGTATCTTCATCTTCTCTGTTTTCTCCACGTTCTCAGTTGGAGTCCCGTCTTCCTTCTCTGCCTCGCCTCTTGTGTCAACTTGTTAGTTTTCTCCTGTAGATCTTCGAGTTTGTGTGACATTAGATACAAGTCGTTGGTCAAATCCAAGTCTTCTAGGTTGTTTTTTGTGGTGCAGCATATCCCCCTCTGCTTGCTCTTCATAGTTGTTTCTTGCATAATCCAGTCGACCGTAATGAGAAAGATCGTGGGTCATTATGGTAGACAGCTTTGTCTTACTCCTTCGTGTCTTCACTTTAAAGGCGTCACTGAGCTTCCCATTGTGAATTACTTGGCTGGCATGTGGCATCTTCATATAGTTGTTGAATGAGGCTGATAAAGGTTTGTGGTATTCCGTAGTGTTGAAGCAGTTTCCAAATTAATTCTCGGTTGACGCTGTCTAAGGCCTTTTCAAACTCGATGAAGTTGAGGTAGAGTTGAGTTGACTGCCATTCCATACTCTGTTCCATGACGGTGCGAAGCGTTGCAATTTGGTCCATATATGATTTGTACTTCCTGAAGCCTGCCTGTTCCGGTCATAGTTTTGAATTCAGTGCATCCTTTAGCCTCTCCAGGATGATGCGGCTTGGTGTGGACAAGAGAGTGATTCCTCGCCAATTATTGCAAACACTGAGGTCTTCCTTCTTCGGGAGTACCCACTACAATAGAAGTCGTTTAATAAATATTCCAGTTCCGCTTCACTCGACATCTATAAAATCTGATCTATTTTAAATGTCTAACATATTACTGTTATTTGAAAAGTAATCTTTACTTCCCTTCCTCATTTATATGTGAATTTTTAGTTGACTGGTGCTTCAATTCAAGTAGCCAGTGAGGCTTTACCAACATCCACGGAAAGAACAGTTACAATCTCTGGCACAGCAGATGCAATCTCGAAATGTATTCAACTACTCTGTGACATATTTTTAGAAGTAAGTTATTGTCAATTTCAAAGATGTACATTTTAGATATTTATACCTAGACATGTGTAGGCTGTTACCTACTGTATAGATTTATTTAGACATATCCAACTAGTAAAACACCTTGGTAACTGGTAATGGGATCCAGGACAAACGTTTTGTCCTATTTGGGACTTGTCAACTGAATGTACCTGCATCCCAGTGGTTGTTGTTCGCAATGAATCTCAAACCCAGAACCCATCACTTCTAACGCCAAGGCGTTAACCACCACCAGTCACCTCTTGTTAAACAGCTATAAGTTATTATCTGGTATTTATGATTTCCTGTTGCTATACAGGGTCGAATTACTCGACCCCTCTGATAAAATACCTATTAAAAATCTAAATCACAGTTGACCTATGCCAATTTCGCTTCCTCGCTTGAAAGATTCCCTACAGTTCCGTTACTATTCTCTATTGTACTTATTTTATTGCTGATCAGATTGAAACTGCTTACTTATCTTCTTGAAAAAGAAGTAGTGCTTGACATTTGCAATGCAATAAAGCGAAGGATAGTCTGCAAAGTGGATGGAAATGAGAATAAATTGTATAGCCAAGAAACATTTGATAAAATTTAGGTTACGTACGTAAGTTGTAGGATATTTTAGCCTCCATAGTCTGAATGTTGTACAAGATTAGATATCTGACTAAGTAAACTTTCAATTTTCCACTGAAATACGTTCGGACTAAACTTGTTACTAAATATGATCTATGCTTGTCTGAATGCTTCATACGGTACCAATAAATAATCTTCTATATAGTTGTATAGTTAACACCTGTTATTATCTGTAAAAGTCATGATGTTATTCAAAGGAAATTTTATGCAAAGTAGACATTAAATGCCAAATTAACCGATGATAGGAAAGCTTGTTACATTAGTTAATGTATCGGTGCACATTTACTTTGCTAGGTTGCTTCCTTTTTTAACTCCGTTACATGAGCATATTTATCATCTCTATTGCAGACTGGAAACAGAAGTAACTGAATTTAGGTAATCAAAACAATGTACATTTATTGTTCCTAAAGCATTGACAAACTTTTGATTGTCAATCATCAGTGAGGTATTCAATGAGGATAGTCAGTAAACGACTTATAATATCAATTAGAAACCCAATGTTGAATATAACATTTGAAAAAAAACTAAATAATAACAACTGAAGTTTCTTTCGTAAAAAATCTTATCTACTTTGTGTTTAAGCTTTGATTCCATTTGACTAATTATTACTTGTTCTGATTTATAGTGTCCAACAAAGGGTCCAGTTATACTTTATCGACCAAAACCTGCCAGTGGTAACCCAGCTGCACTAATGTGTTCTGCTAACTCATATTCATCTGGTTTTCTTCACTCAAATTTATCTGGACTTCCGAATTCAGCCCGTGAGGTAAGTTTCTATTTTATTATTATTATTATTATTAGTCCCTTGGGTTCCTAGTGGAACATAGGGCTTCAGTAGAACGTCTCCAGTGACCTCTGTTCTCTGAGATCTTTTGAACCTGGTTCCACGACAGCTCACAACTTCTCATTTCCTCCTCGCACGATCTCCTCCATGTCACCCTCACCACGGACACACAACTCGTCGCTTCCAATGGGGATTCCACTCGAGCAACTGGCCTGACGCGTGATGTCCCCAGTCGGCCTTCTCAGTGCATACCCAATCCATCTCCACTTCCTCCTGCATATTTGTTGAGTGATAGGTTCTTGGTTGGTTCGTTCCCACAGCTCCTTGTTGCTTATTCTTATTATTCTGGCCATCTCATCTTCAATAGTGAGCGTAAGCAGTTGTTGATGAATGTCTGTAGTTTATTGGAAATGCCTTTCGTAACGCCCCAAGTCTCTGAACGATACAGAAGCACTGACTTGACTGGTGTTGGTGTTGAAAATCCGGATGTTGTTCCACATGCTGAGTGCAGTGCAGAAGATCTCCACACTGGTTTCAGGCTAATGAACGTCTGTCTTGCTTTTCCATAAACTGTGTAATATTCCACCAAAAATTGGAGATTGTTTATATGTATCCAGAATGAAAGTCTAACCTGTTAGTGTGAATATACTTTTATTCAATTAGCATTCATAGTGTCATAGGTCATTGGAAATCTAAACACTGTACCAACTATTACTTTGAAAATTCTATTAACAAGAAGGAAATGTAACCTTTGAGTGTTTCAGTGATACTGCTTAGATATATTAGACACAAGAAGGCTGAAAAATCTGAGCGGAATCCATCAAACTTACTCCTTTGTTCAGCTAACACTTGAAAGCAATACACATGTGCAGGATTGAGTGAAACGAATTTCTCCATCCATAAAAGAATACTGAGTGGCCTTGGACTTCCTAACTAGAATGCTGACGCTTATTTCAAGAATCCTAAATGGAAAAATAAAATAAAATTCCAGTGGATATTGCTGTTTAACTTAACTGAGGACCTCACGAAGGTTTTCAACTGGTTCGTGTAGTCTGAAGTTGAAACAGGTATGATAAACTAATTCATTCGATTATGAATCCACATCAGACGTAGTACTGACATAAATAAGCCTTTGAATGACCACACATTGCTTTTACATTGTTAGTAGGAATTCCTGTAAAAGGATCCACGAAGTATTGAGTATGAATAAGAACAGGTTGTTTATAACCCAGCCTTCTCAGATATCCATAGGCTTCCCAGTCGTCAGAGTAAGCAGGAATTCCTGAACGAACGAATTCCCTGACAACTTAATATGATGTTGTAACTTTGCGACTTTCTACCCTCTGAAAATATCCTTCCCTATATATCCTGTGACCGATTCCAAAAATTCTCAAATACAAAGTTTAAAAAAATGGCCTAATCATTCTTTCCTTGCGTTTTTACCTAGCTTGCATTTCTTTTCCTTACCGCTGTCTAATATACCTAGGATATTTCACTCCCTCGGCCAAAGACTAGAGTCATTTCTCAGAGATTCTGACAATAAATATCCCTACGATGCTGATACCATAGTACAACTGTCATCTCTGTCACATTCATCAAGACCATTTCGCTTACAACCGGTGTCCTAGTTGTTCGCTATACGACGCATAACATAATTTATCATAGTGATGGGATGTATTTCATAAAGAAAGAACGAGTGAGAATAGAACCTCCGCTTCAGCGTGATCTGTATGTAAGTATAACTCCATCCTTAATAGTTGTTTAGGGGCTGCAGCATGACCTCATCACCACTACACCTCATACACTGAAACATTACAAGCAAAATAAGAAGGATGGTTTAGATGAATGACACATTAAACGTTGATTTCGTTTAACTCTAGAACCTAATCTTTTGAAGCTACCAGTAGTGATAAAGTGTACTTAACACTTTATAGTAAGGCTGTATATTACAAAGGTGGTATGTTTAACATTTTCTCCTGTTTTCAAGAATATAATTTACAGCCTGCATACAAATGTACTAACTCTATGATATGTTTTTATATGACTTTATGTTATTTTTTTGGCTCAACACATACTTTGGTTATGAACTAGTTTCATGTCGTTCATTTGGTAGACACTGAAAAATAATAAAAAAAATTCATTGTTTAGTCTAATCAATGACCAAATTTCTAGAAAGTTATTAATTCTTTTCTCAATTATACAAACATAGTACTGAACATTAAACTATACCCAGAACATTAATAAGCAAAACTTTCAAGACAGTCATCTTAAAAAGGTACATAATAATTCTGGGAAACGGCGATTCAAGGGAAATCATACCAATGTTAACATGAAAACAGAGATCAAAGACTGATGCAAAGGAACTGTCTGCAATTTTTTGAATAACAGCAAGTAATTTCACTTTTCCTGAATACAGAGGAGACAAATGAAATGTATCAGATCAATTCAAATGCATTAGTGATTTTGCTTAAACTGATGTCTACAACCGCATATGGGTAAATATAAGGACATGTAGCAGACACACAGCTTGAAATGTGAAAATTGCTAAACGACACGTAATATTATGTCAGATATTCCTGATTGTAGTCGACTGGATAATGCAAGAGACAACTATGAGGAGCGAGAAGAGGGGGATATGCTGCACCACAAAAAACAACCTAGAAGACTTGGATTTCACCGACGAATTGTATCTAATGTCACACAAACTCGAAGATCTACAGGCGAAAACTAACTAATTGACAGAAGAGGTGAGGCAGAGAAGGAAGACGGGACTCCAACTGAGAACGTGGAGAAGACAGAGGTGATGAAGATACCCAACCAACAACAATAGCAAGCTTCAATCACTATCAACAGGAGAACCTAAACGAAGTAGCCTCCTTCGTCTATCTAGGCAGCACCGTTTCAACTACAGGCGGCACAGGCACAGACGGAGACGTCAAAACCAGCCAGAATCGAAAAGACAACAAGACAGACGTTTATTAGTTTGAAACCAGTGTGGAGATCTACAACACAGCATAATGAACATCATCCGTATTTTCAACACCAACACCAGTCAAGTCAGTGCTTCTGTATGGCTCAGAGACCTGGCACGTTACGAAAGGCATTTACGACAAACTACAAACATTCATCAACAACTGCCACCTACACTGGCTCGTTACTGAAGATCGATGAGATGGCCAGAATAATAAAGATAAGCAACAAGAAACTATGGCTGGCTGGCTAGCTGACTAGCTGGCTGGCAATGAACCAACGAGGAAGCTGTCACTCAACAAATATACAGAAGGAAGTGGAGATGAATTGGATTGTGCATACACTGAGGAGGCCGAATAAGGATATCACGCACCAGGCCAGATACTCGAGTGTAACCCTGAGGAGAGGCAACGAGTTGTGCGTCCGAGTTGAGGGTGATATGGGGGAGATCGTATGAGGAAGAAATGAGAGCTTCTGAGAGGTTGTGGAGCCAGGTTCACGTGATTGCAGAGAGTAGAGTGGAATGTAGATGTGCTACTTAAGCGGTATGTTCCATTAGGAACCCAAGGGACAAATGATAATGATAATAAAATATTATGTCAGAAGAATACTGACTACGAATAAATCCATGTTCACTATTAAACGTCAAGTAATTTTTCTCATGACTTTGTAGAATGATATATATTTGTCAAAAACGTAATGACTATCAAACTACCCACTTATGATGGCTGTTTTTATAAAAAGTTGTACTAAGCCTCATCTGGAGAGAAGAAATGTCTTCAAGAAGATTTGCTTGAATAGCTTTGAAAATCACTTGTAAAGCTGACTGTAGATTTCACCTCATTCCCTCATGATGTTAAGAAGAGAAGGCATTATAAGTCAGAGTCACCACTGAACGACTTTCAAAACACTATGCTTTGACATAATATTTGGAAGTGACCACGTAAGGAGCTGTACAGTTTATACAAAGGAACATTAAATGCATTTATTTTCCTAGATTTACCAGTTATCGAATAAAATATATTTTAAAAAAGTAATTATGAAATCTGGTTGCTGTCTTTTACTGTTTTTTTCTCTAAATCAAACCAAAGAACTCTCATGAATCGGGATATACAACTCCTTTGTTCACATCAGCATCATTACTCACAAATGAAGTGAACTCTGCCAGTCCAACTTCTTTAACTAGAAGCTATGCAAGTCAGTTTGGAATACCATCTGGTATATTATCGGGTATTGCAGGTGGATCGGCTGGTACTGGCATCAGTAGTGGTTCAATGATAACTAATCTTCCAACGCCAAATACAATTCAATCTCCTCTGACAGTGATTGGTTCTAGTCGACCAGTTAATCCAATATCAGATATTATGACAGGTAAGAAACCGAGAAAACTTTAAAATTATTGTCCTAAAAGTGTTACAAATAATATTGATACTGGGTGATGACTGAAGGTGAAGTGAAAATCTGGACCGCAGGCAGGACTCAAACCGGTGATCTTCAGCTTTACGGCATGGTGCTGTAACACCTAAGTTCCAAGACTCAACTGCTAACCAGATCCTAAGTTCACCAACGGTTTTGCCCATCTACCATGTGCGAAACTATCGCTTGATCATCCTCCAGCTATCTGCCCAGTCAGAACTTCTCATCACAATCCAAATCTGCTTGAGTTAGAGAGGGAAGACATCATATTGATTATTACCTTGACTGTGTGAGATAATCTCAGTTTGACATTGGATGGTGACTATAAGTGAAATGAAAATATGAGCCGCTGAAGGATCTGAACCAGCGACCAGCGATAGATAACACTGTTGAAAATACTAACCACTTAGTGAAATATTTTTGCATAATATATTATTGATAAACAGAGTTTTAAACAGTATTGCAAACTGTAACAAGCGCACAACCATTCAACTATCTATCAGCGATTACATAGAAAGTCAATTAAACACCTTTACAGGCAAATGATGAATATTGTAGCATTAACTAACTTTCCTATAGGTTTCTTTCTAGACATAGTTTGACGAATCTTTCTAAGCCTATTTACTTCAACTGCCTAATTAAGCATTTTCAAACTGTGAACCACTTTTTTTTCACTCGAAAAGAAAAACATTTAATTTTTTCAAGCATAAATGTTCACCAAGTAGGCAATTTAATCAACCTTTCAAGTAAACGAGAGAGAAAGCACTAACCTCTTTGTAAAAGAGATATGACTATCTAACAAGTAAAATACTCGATAAAATACATTTTCACATACTTGATATGTAATCTCATATCACCTAAAATGTATTTCAGCTTTGATCTGAACAGCTAAGTGACAAAGTGAACTTAACAAAATGTTTAATCATTTTCCTAAAGTAAAATGCTTTCTTTAAAGTAACACCTGATGAAAAGAAGTAAATGAATGTAAGTTTTTAAAATTATGTCATCAACTAAACACTGTTCTTTGTTACAACATAAAATAAGAAAAACGAGAAACACTGGTTATCATTTCATTTTTCTTTGTAATGTTAAGGAATTAACATTAGTTAGCTAACCATCCTCACACCCAAAAGTAGTCACAGTTCGAGTACTTTAACACCAAAGTCTTCCTACACTCTATATTTGTTGGTCAGAAACCTACTCAAGGCTGACCTGCTATTTCATTATTTCAGTCCTGTAAAACAACGATATAACATCTCAACAAAAACTATACTTTGATCATCATTCAACAAATCTTTGACAATGTTCAATACAATGGTTACATTAAGACCAGATAACTAACTCTGTAACTTTCTTAGCCAGTGACATGAGAGACACAGACAAAAAGATTGAGGAAACTCCAATTTTCTGTTTTCACCTAACTGCGGACTACTTAACCACTTAAGTGTCCAGAAAAAAATTATTGCGAGGGTAAACTACTGCCTTTCTCAATGATTGTGTTTAAGGTACTTGTTACCTCTTACAGTGTGTTAATTATAACTGATTTTGAGAGCAGTATTAAGATAGTAGATACGGTTTTTCACAGGATATAAAACCATTCCAAGTTACTCGAGATTATGATATCCATTTATGTTCTCTAAGTTAGACAGTGTTTGTAGCCTCAAAATGGATTATTGAATGTAATTTCTGAAAAATATACAGGTCATAATATTCTATCGCTGCGTTCTAGCCTTGACTGTGGAGAACAATTTAAAGTTCTACAGGATATCAGCGTATAGATCCCTCAGCACCCAGCCTGATCAGTGAATTTATATGAAGGCAGACTTGAAAACCAATTGATGAGTGATTATTATTATTTCTCCCTCGGGTTCCTAGTATAACATGCCACTTCAGTAGCACATCTACATTCCACTCTACTCTCTGCAATCACGTGAACCTGGCTCCACAACCTCTCAGAAGCTCTCATTTCTTCCTCATACGATCTCCCCCATATCACCCTCAACTCGGACGCACAACTCGTTGCCTCTCCTCAGGGTTACACTCGAGTATCTGGCCTGGTGCGTGATATCCTTATTCGGCCTCCTCAGTGTATGCACAATCCAATTCATCTCCACTTCCTTCTGTATATTTGTTGAGTGACAGCTTCCTCGTTGGTTCATTGCCAGCCAGCTAGTCAGCTAGCCAGCCAGCCATAGTTTCTTGTTGCTTATCTTTATTATTCTGGCCATCTCATCGATCTTCAGTAACGAGCCAGTGTAGGTGGCAGTTGTTGATGAATGTTTGTAGTTTGTCGTAAATGCCTTTCGTAACGTGCCAGGTCTCCATTGAACGATTACTCCTCCCTATGTATGTGTGCCCATACATACAATGATAAGCTGAGCTGCACAGTATGTTTTACTGACAACAGATTTCAATCTCTGCTTCAATATCATACTACTTGTTTCCCCTCTGTATAGTACTTTAAGAAATATGCTTTTCTTCAGGACCAAGGAAACTAAAGGCTTTGGGTTCAACTGTTTGTTACAATGGTTGACAAACTGTAATGGATAACCGTTTTCCATTAGAGTGTCTGTCAGAAACTTATTCTCATCATCCATCGTATCAGATGTACAAATATGTTGGATTCTACTGAACAAGCATCTTACCAAGCCTCTCTTATATTTCATCGGGCAAAAACTATGAAAATTCAAATACTATCCTGTCCAAGTACGCTTCCTATATATTGATCGTCTGATAGATCCATCTTCCCTCCGGTACAAGAGTATATCAAGAAATGCGAGTTGATGGTCTCAACCTCGCACAAATGATCACATCATATCCCACTGTGTTTACCAATTTACATGTATGTGTGGACACAAATACATAGGGAGGAGTAATCGTTCAGTGGAGACTAGGGTAGGTGAACACATACACAAATGGCTAGAAAAACAGTTTAACACACAAACTTTGATAAGTGCAGGTGACAGATATCCATCGTCATCGATAGCAAAACATATCAGTGAAATGAATCAAAGGTTAATAGGGAAACATTCTTTAAGATATTATACAGGAATAATCAAGGGTGCATACTGAAGTTTGCCGAAGCGTTAGCCATTCGTAAACTTAATCCCCCGCTGTGTGTAAAAAAGCAATTTGTTGTTTCACTTAATTTACCTTGATAATCCTTAGTATTCTGATTATATCATCAAGACTAGTGTCATAACCTTTTCATATTCCAAGTTGCTATTCATGGTAGACTGACATCAGTTGGAGGAACAAAGGAAACCTGGGAGCACTGGACAGCTGTTTCGTCCGACTAGTATGGGACTCCTCAGCAGTGCGCACCCACAACCCCACCAGCAGGGATCGAACCCGCGACCTCCAGGTTCCGTGGCCAGCGCGTTACCATTGAGCCACTGGGTCAGAATCCAATGCTCCATATTTCCACCTTCTGTTAGCTCACGATATATTCACTATATTTGACCTTTGATTTTGCTGTATAAATTGACTTGACAAGTAAATGTGTGGGGGATCAGATTGTTCGAAATGTATTGCGCAAATACACTACACACATTTTTCAAATAATCTTCATCTTCTAATAGCCTTATCGAAATTTATTAAAGGGACTAACTGTTTCAAATATACTATTTGGCTGTGGATTAAGAAGACCAAAATAGAGTATACCCTCTTCTTTTGAATATCACATTGTTTATATGTATATTCACATGAAGTGTTTACATCACCTTGGTTCTATTCTGTCTTAAAAGTAGATCAATCTAATTTTTAGTCACAATCACTACTAAAATTTAATAATATTTTGGTCAAAATACACCCCCTTGTTTTCCTCTTCGGTTTCTACTGTCTTTTTTTTTTCTCTTTCTCTGTTAAACAGTTGTACAACTTATCATTGTTCAATCTAACACGTTAATAATTGTACAATTTTTGACTGTTATAAGTAATAGAAACAACAATTTCTTTTATAGACCAATACAAAGCTTTCATCCATTTGGTTTCTGAATTCACATGATACCTATGTCATTAATTACAACTGATCTGTTCATAAAAACACCTGCTCCTATTCTAAAATAAACTATACGATTATTTCATATGTATTCTTAGCTGCTGTTTTTTTTTAAATTATAGATCACTAGTGGATATCCTATCTTTTTCTGATATCAGAATACATATATGTATCATGGTTGGATGGTCATCACTTTACCATAACTCCATTTTTGTTACCTATAAATTTCGGCATAAGTTTGCCAGAATAAGTATAAGGAAGGTAGATAAACTTAAAAAAATAATTCCATGTATTAGATTAGACTAATACAGAAAATGTATTTCATGAATATCACATGTTACAAATTAAGTGAATGTATTGCATCTATGTATATATTTGAAAAGATTTGACTATAGAATAAGTAAAAATATATTCATATGCAAATAAAGTTGTCATTTCGATATGAAGATAAGGTGAATGCTAATTTCTGTCAACTTTCTGTAGGTTGATTTAAACTAACAAGAGTGAAAACGGAAGTAGATTGTTGATAAGTCTGTAAAAAGGTTGCTAAGATCCTTATCAATTTGTAAAGATTTCCTTATTTGATTTGTTAATTGATTTATATCGCACAGTTATACAGTATTATTTACTTGATAACATTTCCATATATCTGATATAGGTGTTACGTTATTTCTATTACATATGTTGTGTGTTGATTTGATGAACAAAGAAAGATTCAGTGAACAATCTCTCTCCATCTCCATCTAATTATATTGCACTTGAGTAGAGAGTGGCATTATCTCACCCTTTTGTATGCTTGTGTGTTATTGTATGCATTACAACAGTGGAGATCTTTTCTACATTATTGATCTTATTGGTATCTGTCATTCTACATTTGACTAAATTACGATAAATTCCGATATTCTAATTCACCCTAATAGGCTTGTTTACCTATGCAATTGACTTCACAGTCATTATATAGAATTTGATAGATTACATTATCTTGCTTAACTGGTTCTGTCAAATCCTTAAGCCGACAAAGCTTATCTCTGAGTGAGTTTATAGGTTTAAAAGACACTTTCATTCCAGCTTTGTTGTAGATCGCAAGTGAACTTTCTAATGTACCTTCCTTATAGGATAATATAATGGAGGCTGTGAACTGACATTAGGTGGCAGTTAGAATAGTGGAATATAGTAATTTAGTCAAATGTAGAATGACAGATACCAATAAGATCAGTAATCATGAAGGAGACTTGCCTGTTGTAATGCATGCATTAACACACAACCATACAAAAGGGTCGGATAATGCCACTCTACTCAAGTCTAATATAATTAGGTGGAGATGGAGAGAGATTGGTTACTGAATCTTTCTTTGTTCATCAAATCAACACACAACACGTGATATCTTATATATGGGAAATTTTGCTTTCCAAAGGCGACAGGAGTGTAAAAATTAGATGTGGGAAGTTTTGTGATAACATCGATATAATTATGAGCACTGATAATTTATGCTGCAAACGACATCCAGTAAATAATACTATATCACTGTATGTTATAAATCAAATAAACAAATCTAATATGGGATTACCTTGTATCACAGTGCCCAAGCTTTACACTTGTATTTCTAAGATTTCATCTAAATGTCTAGGTACAATTTATTCTAATGCAGACTGCGCGCATTATTCTCGTAGAAGTATTTTTCAGGTACCTACTTTATTGTAAATTAAAAAAAGCAATACTTATTTCTTACTTATGGTCACATAATTGTGAGATACATTAGCAATACTTGTACGATATTGGTAGTGGCTAACCTTTGCCATTCAGTTACCACAACTTCTAAATTTCGGTAACGTTTCAAATAACAGCTTGTTAACTATCCGATAAATGTCTTTGCTTAAATTATGTAACGTGAAGAAGGATTTCGGTGTATAACTACTAAACACGTTTATAGACTTGAATGTCAGTTAAACTCTTAGCTACTTATGCTACGAAACAGTGATAACTCAGGTCATTTATTTACGCACATATACTACTAAATAATTGTTAGCAGCACAAAGCATAGTATGACGTGCTAGAAATAAATTCAGCTACTTTAAACCATTTGTCTCGTGACTACTTTTGTCATAGTTACTGCACAGGCCAAGTAGGAAATCTTCTCAAAGACGGTTTTGATTGTAAACTTCATTGCTTACTGACACGTTCTATAGCTGCTTTGACTCTGTCTTTTAACCTACAAAGCTTGTTTCTAAGTGAGTTTGTTGTTGGGATTGCTGGGATTAAAGTGGCACTCAAACCAACAAACTCACTCGGAAACAAGCTTTGTAGGTTAAAACATCTTATCGATGCAATTCAGCAAAATAATCTGGTTTACCAGATCCCTTGCAATGATTGCGAGGTCAAGTGCATAGGTCAAAGCAGTCGGCCAGGGTCGATTAGAATAAAAGAGCACAAAACCTTAGCTAAATCAAGATTATTAGATCCTAATAAGATAAGAAATCTAAAGAAAAACTCGGCTATAGCTCTGCATGCGATGACACACAATCACACAGTAGGGTGGGATAAGGTAACAATGTTGAAAACCAAGTTAGTTGTTTGGAGGGAGGGAGAGATTGATAACCGACTGGATCTTTGTTTATCGAATCAACACCAAACACACGCAGCAATAGAAATGATCCTGCACCTGTCTCAGATATATCAAAGTCAAAACTTCATTATTGTTTACTCCAGATATTACCACAGGATGTAAATGAAAACTTAAGGATTCCAGAAGATTTCCTACCTGTGTCCCTGTGCACACTGATATTAACATAACAGGTAAGTGAGTAGGAAGTAATAATTAGGTTCCAGTGACCCATACTTTTCAACAGTGTGAATATTCGTCAACTCTTTAAATACATGGAACACAAACTTCTTTGAGTTAAACATTAACAGAAATTAGATTTTGTTTTCCATCCCTTCAGATTGATTTAAACTGTATTCCCAACGCTCATATATCTTCGACAAAATAAAGCTGGTTTGTATGAAATAGCAGGAATGAAAAATACAATATGAAATATAGGGTCTTTCCACTTCATACAGCAAACGGATTACTCAACTCACTGTAATGGTTAATCACAGATTATGAGAAATGAGTATTTATGACTTCATACACTTTTGGATTGTATTCCGTGCACTCAGCAGCAGAAGGTTTAGTTCACACAGACACTGACACTAGTTTTATTCATTGACTTGGAAGTGGCGTTCAATTCAGTTAACTTAGAGGTCTTATGACAACATTTCTCATTGAAACACTTACCCAGTAAATACGTCAACCTGCTAAAGGTTGGAGTTAAAAACACATGGATTTGTAAAAGGTTATGATAAGGTATCAAATGAGTTTTCTGTGTCATATGGTGTCTGTTTAGGATATTCACTCTCTCAATTCTTATTCGAATCTGTCATAAACGTGTCCATAGAGGCCTCCGTTTCCTTGTTCCATTACTTCAGAAGATTCGTTAGTGGACCTAGAGCATACAGATGGGAATGCTGACAAAATTCACAGTCTTCTGAACATCTTGAATGGCAATTTAAGGATTTTTTTTATGTGTATCCTACCACTCAACTGCAAATTGTTATTACATGACGCGCGTGTGTTGCAACCTAATCTAACAAGTGGAAATGAAGTGGTTCAGCGATCTGGTCATGTTTTGTTTTTGTTTCGTGAATTTCTTCCACTTTTGATAAAGCTTTCACCTGACCTGTGTACCTATTACCCTGTTGTGCTGGCATAAAGTGTGGTCACTTAGAGTTTCTTCACATGAAAGCCAGGTCCACGTCTATTCTAACTAACTGAAAATCAACTGGAGTTACTGAACAAATATATTTACTTTACTACCTAAAATGAGACATATTAATAAGTATATTATATGAGTGTGTAAAAGTCAAGCATATAAACTCATATAAACATTTCACTACAAATGAAATCTAACATTCTACATAGTTATGTCATTGATGCCACTGGAACAGTGTACAAACGCAAATATATACAGACTTGACTATAATAATCTTTTTTAAAAGGTTAAACTGATCACTTTCATTTTTTAAAAATTCTTTTTTTTCTGAAATCCAACATCCTATAAACTTAATCATTGTAAAATGAAATACACGCAAACACTCGAATATCTTCGATCCAGGTCACTTCATTCTACTTTACAACCAACATGCTATATTCGCTTTCGACTATACACGTTTCTGGTTATGCTATGGTCAACAAACAAATATTTGTAAAAGATATCGGCTTGTATCTATGTATATTTTCGAAAAATATCTTTTTTTACAACTACATGTCACATGATATAAATCATTTTGTTTTAACTGTTCAACATGTTCAGTAGTGAAGGCCACCAATGACATAAATTGTGTTGTTTACACTGTTTAAATGTCAAACTGTATAGTAGTATAGGAGAAAGGAATTAAGATAAGAAAGACATTGTTAGATTTTTTAAAAATAAAAATTGAATAAAAAAGAAGAATATATTCTTTTGTAGATAACTAAAATTGTTTTTGCCATTCACAAAACTACTGACATATTCAAAGCTGTGGCTATGAGTTAACAATCATTTTGTCAATTGGGAAAGCAATAACACGTAATAAGTCCAACTGAACGATACGTAACAATCCATTAAAAATAAGGTGTCCTGAACTGATAAACTGTAGTAGAGTAAAAGATAGAATTTCCCCCAAAGTAACCGTAATGGTTCATGCTGTTATAAGCATTGTTTAAAGTTGTAATCTGTTTAGTGGCCAGCAGTGGAATCTATGACACATATTTCATTTCCTATTTGAGCCCCTTCAGCCTGATATACTTGCACTCTAGTGAGTGATGCTGTTCACACTGAGACAAGAACCCAGTATCAATCACTTCAATTGCTAAGGCGTTTTGTCCACTGAGTATAGGAGCTCATCTACCAACAGAGGTTGACGAATTCCACTCACAATATCAACGAGATATTACAAGTACTAAACAATACTGCTTAAGTTTAATTAACCTCAAGACATTTTTACATGATATGATAAGAATTACCCACTAGTTTATCTCAGTGCTAAATGTGAAAGCTAAGAGAAAATGAAATAGACATCACTCTTACACTAAGATAAAAATCTCAGACTAAAACAATCGGATTCTAAAGTTCAAAGGATGTATTCCGAGTTGGGACAACATAAATCACTGCGGTGTAGGTATATCTAGCCGACAAGTCCTGAATAGGATGAAAAGTGCTTCCTGGATTCTACTGCTTTCCACAACTTAGTTATTCTTAAATCCTTTCAATAAAATAAACCACAAGTTAGTAAATAACTATAAGGTAGTTTTTAACAACTTACCTCTAATCGCTTCTATAATAAGGCTAAAAGTTGTAGGCTTGTAGTTATAAAAAGGAAGTATATACACGTCTTCAGCACCAGACATACACTAGGAAATGAAGCTGCATTGACTTTTTCAGTCAGATTTATAGACAAGTGATATAGAAAACTAGTCATAGAGTTTTTTACGAAGGTGAAATGTTTTCACTTATGGCAATTTTTCAAAAAGCATTGCTCATTAACTCTCGTAGATGCTGCATTTTTGCAAAAAGGTTAGCCTAAATTACTAATTTGTAAAAAACTACATAGCTGTACATGTTTTTCACAATTGAAAAGGTGTAAATTTATGTTTTGTTAAGCGTTAAGTAGTACTAATGTTAGCTTCTAAAACAAGGTCATATATGAAGATTTATTGTTCAAGCATGTAGTTTGTTATTTTGTGTACAAAACAAACCATTTACAGGGTGATATACAACTTTTTTTTTATTATTTTTCCTTTATATCTCAATCTCATCTTCTGTAGATCAAATTCACTTATTCGCTGCGTTAAATCAGCTTGATTTAACTGCCTTCCAATCTCATTTCTCATCGATTTTGTCACCATTATCAAATGCAAATCCAATCGCTAGTGGAGTGCATTCCATTGGACAGCCTTTAAGTATTCCAGAAATATCTCCAACCCCTAGTTTACTTGGCTGTTATCCTGCTGCTGCAGCTCTACCTGTTGTTGGGTCACCAAATAACTATATTTTTTCTACACCTGCAGCTCTGCTCAAGGTATCAAGTAGACTCCCAGAAGATCACTTTGTAGCTTCGACAAATAATAGCCTCAATGATATTGTTGCTAGCCGATCTGATCTGTGCATTAGCAATGCTAATAATATATCGTCTAATGATACGTTGAACTGTAATGGTTCACTGTCAGTCGGCTCAGTCAACAATTACACACAACTTTCAACTCCCTTAGATCCGATAAGATCAATTCGTGGTTTACAAAACACAACTTCATTACTTGGTCTTCCATCCTTGTCGCTCGGTACTCTCCTGAATGTACAACAGCAAACTCCACTAATCCCATTGACCAATACAGAAGAGAATATTGTCGTTCGAGAAATGATTATTTCTAATGATGTCATAGGCTGTATCATTGGACGTGGGGGCACAACAATAAATGAAATCAGAAATACGTCCAAAGCTCAAATCAAAATATCCAATTGTGAAGATGGTGCAAAAGAAAGAAAAATTACAGTCTCTGGAAAGTTGGATTCAGTGAATCTTGCTCAATTTCTAATAAACAGCAGGTCAGTTCAGTTTAAAAAACTTCTTGCTTTATTCCTGAAAAAAATAATCAGTTCTACATTTATTTCATTGTATTTTTGTTGGCTTCTTCCTCACCTTAACTACGCTCCCTAAACACTTGAAATTGGTTAATCAGTTTTCGAGTGATTTACCATTTACATGGTCTACCTTGATAATTTTTAAAGCTTAGTACTTTTCCAACTGCCAGCTGAATACCGTGTCAACATGGTTTGTGTTGTGAATCCATAAGGCTATCTGATGTAATTTGGCTTTTTGAGTTAAATGTTTCCGGGTACACCTCTAATAAGCCTTGCCTGAAATGAGCAGAACGACCGTCCGATGCTAAGATCACTCTGATCCAGTTGCTTGGCTAAATCTACAGATCAGCTCGTTCAGCAGTAAAAGCTTGAGATTCATTTAATTTAAGATAATGTGCTATGGATCAATGAACGAATCTCGATAAAAAGTTTTCTAAATGGAGTGAAACTTCATCTAGTTTATTAAAATAAACGTTTTCCATAGTTACAATAAGCGGATCAAATTGTAATGCTACAATACGCATCACCATAGAACAGAGCATAGAATTGCGATAGACTTTCTATCTCAACTTCATCGACTTTGAGAAGGCTTTTGACAGCGTCAACCGAGAAGTAATTTGGAAACTTCTTCAATACTACGGAGTACCACAAATCTTTATCAACCTCATTCAACAACTATATGACGATGCCACATACCGATTGGTTCACAATGGAAAGCTCAGTGATGCCGTTTAAAGTGAAGTGAAGAGAGGAGTAGGGATGAGGTTGCCTGCCTACTATCACTGATTATCTTCTTCATTGTGGTTAACTGGACTGGATCATGCAACAAACCGTGAGGAGCGAGAAGATGGGCATACGCTGGCTGGACCGATGAACAGAACTCAGAAGAAGATTTGGATTTTGCCAATAATGATTTATGACCAATGTCTTGTGGCACAAACTCGAAGATTAACAGGCAAAAACCAACTAGTTGACAGAAGAGGCAGCGAAGAGGGAACCTCACATGAACGTAGAAAAGACAGAGGTGAAGAAGATGCTCAACCAACAACACCAACAGCTTAAAGAAAGTAGTTTCCTCCACCTACCTAGGCTGAGTAGCATCGTTTCAACTACAGGCTGCAGCACAGATGAGGATGTCAAAGCCACAATCGTAAAGACAGCAAGGCAGGCCCTGCTTCATTAACCTGAAATCAATGTGGAGATCTACTGCACTCCGCTCAGCATAAAGCGTGAACAAGATCCGGATTTTCAACATTAATGCCAATTAAGTCAGTACTTCCATGTGACAGTTTAAAGACTTGGTAAGTCACGAAAAGCATTTCCAACAAACTACAGACATACATCATGAACAGCTGCTACCTCCACTCACTCGATACTGACACTGACTATCACATCAGATCGCCAGGAAGAATAAGAAACAAGGAACTCTGACTGACGACGGACCAACCAAGAACCTATTGCTCAACAAACATGCGGACGAAGAAATTGGAGATTGGTAGGGCATACACTGAGAAAACCATTCGGAGACATCACGCTTCAGGTCAAGCCCTCGAGTGAAACTCAAAGGGGAACGATGAGTTGGGCGTCTAAGGTATGGGTGACATGGAGGAGATCATATAAGAAAGAAATGTAGGTTTGTGGGCAGTGGTGGAAACAGGTTTTGAAGACTGTAGAGAAGGGAATGAAATGGCGACGTGCTACTGAAGCGGTATGTTCCACTAGGAACCGAAGGGACAAATAATAAATAGTTACAGTATAGGAAAACACACTTTTGAGATCCTAATGAAGTTTAATGGTAAATATCCGATATCTAGTGACATCCTTGCTTATCTGAAATTCTTGCACACCAACACGTCTGTTAGGATCACTCCAATATCTCTGAACTCGTTAACTATTAACTATTGTTAGTTATGTGCACAAAATATGTAAAAAAGGTGTCTCTTTACTTGTCTCTTTTTCCACTTTAAAAGTGTGGTACCTTGTTCAGATCTTGCTCTTCGAGGGATTGTCTCTGCTTAGAAGACAGAATGTTTTCAAGAAACTACTTTTCCACTTCACTATAACTTTTCAAACAGTCAGTGTAGCATGAAATTATTTAATTGGTGATGGGAAGCTAGGGAAGCCAGGACGAGCATTTTGTTCCAGTTGGGACTCTTCAGTTATTGGTGATTACATCCCGTAAATACTAGATCCAGGCACCAACTATTTCAAACGTCAAAGTGTTATCCACTAGGCTGCTGAATCGCATGAACCAACTTTTGCCTAGCCATTATCATTCAACATCTATTGATGGTTGTAATTTCCCGTTGATGGATAGAATGGATCTATCACCCTTGATACATGGCCAACTTGAAAAGATGTCTGAATAATGCCTTAACCATCATTTTGATGGTATTCGCTCAATGATGGCCACTGCTAAACTTAGTTAACTTCATAATGTCAGGCTTTAACCTGACTAACTAGTAAAGCATGAAGTAACCTCAGGATAGACCATTTATTGGGTCTACTACTAATATTACCACCACCAGCACTACCACTATTACTACTCTCTAACTACTAAGTTCATTACAAATACATAATAGCTTACAATCGATTTGCTTGCATAATAATATAAGCCTGGATTCATGTCATAGGCTTATATCATTCAGGCAAGTATGCTCAGTCGTTTCCCACTCAATATTACTAGAATATGTCTTCAGTAGAGACTAGTGTTGAAGCCTGTTAGCATTCAAACAACTTGCACTGTCTGTTATCTTTAGCTTTCGTCAAATAATGACATAGAATAACTTGTGTTTTGCCTTGACATATGCGAATAAGACCACCTACTAATAAATTTTTTTCGAATGTATAATATTGAACCAATACCTAAAATACCAGTCATTTAGTTATTAAGCTATCAGTTATCAATAAATACTTGCAGTGCACAAATCCTAAGTAAATGTTTATCTCATTTCAAGGCAGTCCTATCCAGACAGTGCCTAACTGTTTTCAATGTGTTGTATTTTAAAATTTGTTCCTTTTGAGTTGCAAGAAAATCATTCCGCATCTACAGCTTCTTACTGAGGAATTCAGCATTTCTAAACAATATTAACTGTACAAACATTCTTGTTAATTCCTGTACATGACCAGTTAATAGATCATTTTATGCCCACTTAATATACTAAATGAACACCAAGTATTCTCTATAAGATAATTACGACCAAATGATTTAGAAAAACATACTACTTATTTTTTGAAGTCACCTTACCTTTTACTCTTTGTAAAGTGTATAAAGAGTCTGATTTCATTATCATCTTGATTTGACATCAACTAAAACAAATGGCGAAAAAAAATAAGAAATCGTGATCAGTTACTTTTACACTTCAAACTAAAGTTTATCGGAGTTGTTCAGCCTCAGCCACATACTAATAAGAACTCAATAACTTAAACATTTTGAGGCGTAAAACGTAAACTTAACCAGTGTTTCAAACAGTGTATATGATCACCTTCGTTAGCCATTGTTAAAATGGAATGGTATATGCACGACTATTGTCTTTAATGTTTTAATTATTGATAACAAAATATTGTATAGTAAACAGACGAATGATCAAAATCCGTTGAAAACACATAGGACAAGAATAACGCATTTACAAACGAGATCAGACATTTAAAAATGTGGTTTAAACAAAGGTGAATAGAGTTATTGTGAAACTATCTCATTGAATTCTTTTTCTACTCAAAGCTGATAGATATACTAGTCGAAAAAGTTTGTTTGGATTCTTGATGTTTCTGACTATCAATGAAGACAGGTAAAGGATAAGATCAAAGCCTCACTGTGATATAATGTAATAGATGAACATTGAATTCATTTTGACAACCTCTTCTCAAATTCATCCATCCGACTCGAATCGATCAAATTATTTTTCAACCGGTTACGATAAGAAGCTGATTCGATCCATCTTTTCAACTCTTTTTTTTGTCAAAAGTTAACGTATAAATGTTATTATTCGAATTACATGCATTAAACTGCCCTCGTTCGCATCATCGATTGGAAAATACTAACCGTATTCTTTGAATGCATAGTGATAACACACTGTTTGCTTTGAAGTCACTAGAAAGATAACAGTATTTGTTTAATTATCTATCTGTGTATATATTTTCATCCTATGGAAAATTCGTTCCTGGTGTAGTCTCTTGAGTTGGCAAGGTACAATATGGCCATAAATCTAAGACAGAGAGACATTTCAGAAGCAGGATATTCAATTTATTTTCATTGATATATCACTGAAAAAGTAATCTTAGTTACTGATAAAGTAACTCAGCGTATTTTGCTCATTTTGACTCCAAACCTTGTTTTGTTACGCTGAAGGTATCCTTTATCGTACAAATTTGAATGCTTTTTTTTTTATGCTGTCCATTATCATATTTTGCACTGCATGTTGACAATTGAATAGGTGAAATGCATGAAACACTTACTGATACCATTATGCATGGTTTTTAAATTCTTGTTTCTCTTTTCTCTGTTTTCGCTTGTTCTGTCCCTGTGTGTATCGCTTTTTTTTGGACTATTGCTCCTGCTAATGCTGGCGATGGTGCTGATGATAACTGACGGGGATTGTGCGAAAAATCCTATGCATGTTTACTGTTCTTAACATATGCACGCATGCACATATATGCTTGCAAATATACACATGAAACATATATATGTACAATACTTACTGTCTGATAATGAAAATGCATCAAACATTTAACAAAATCATATTATTAAATTGGATATCAGTATTGCAATTCATCAAGAAATGTGGGCATTCAATGTTCGACTAGCCACAGCAGCTACCGCATTAATGACTCAAAATGATTTAACCATCAATTCTTCAAATAAACTTTCAGACATTGAAGATGAAGGTTATAAATCTTTGCTAAATGAAAACTGTTGTCTAACTGATTATGCCTTACTAACTTCAAGTACACCATTTAACAATAGTAAACCTCAATTAAACTCTTCATTGATTTTATTAAAAGAAAACTTATCACCTTATCTACAGAAACAAATCTTCAATCCTATTCTAACATCAAATCATGAGGATAGTAATCAATTAAGTTCAAAAGTGAAATTTAACCATCGAACAGTAAGGAGATCAAAGTTAACACCATACTAATATTGAAAGATCCCTGTAAAGTATTTACTACATTGAACATTGTTTATTGAATATTGAACATGTATGAGTTGTTTAGCATGAATAAATTGATTATTTATAATTAATTCAATAGTTGATATAACTTTATCCGGAATGCCTTGTCTCAATTTATGCTTATTATTATAATGATGATATTGGTGACAATATCAAACAAGTATGTTTATTATTTTACTATGTTTATCTATGGAATGTAAACTTTCGAAAAAGAATTATTGAATGCCAGTTATATCATAACAATATGGTATGTATTTAATCAAAAAAATTTCTTATTTGTATGCTTTATTACTAACAAAAATTAATAAATGATCAGTTTTGAAAATCTATTTGTCTCTCTGTCTATCTCTTAGTTATTCTGATGAATTGATTTCAAGTTTGATACCAATATTAATCAGAGAACTATCAGAAACCTATGACCATTAAACGGTTGTTTTATCTTGGTGTGGGGCTGTTCAGCAGTAGGCAATAATGGCCCCAAGACCTTCCAGTTCAACCATCATTGAATTACTGGGTCGGGGAACCAATGGTCTACTATTTACTATTCTTTTCAGTTCATTATATAGTATGACATCCTTTCGATGTCATCTTTGAGTAATTGTCCTCATATACAAGTTTGTTGATGCTATCGGTTATGATTAATTGATAGAATTTAATAGCTCAGGAAAAAGTTTCTCTTAGGAAAGAATTTTTTATTTATTTATTCACATTTCATTTATTATTATATTGTTATATTTGAAATTTGTCCTTTCTTTTTTTATTCCTTCAACATTGAAAACATTGAATAAATGTATAGAATATCAGCAGAATTGTTGGCCGGTATGATAGCATTTGTCAACTATTGATAAATAAGCAAAAATATCATTTTTGCGCATATATACATTGCATACATCCAACGGTATTCATCAACATTTATTTAGGTTTATTCGCATTTACATATACATATAATTATGATTAGTTTCATAATAATTTCAACTTTAAAGTATGCACAGTAATGCTTATGATAAAAATATACACAAATAAATCATTGATCATTGAAAACGATTTGTTTTAATGGTATGCATATTTATATTTAATAAAAAAACAAATAAACGAATCTCTTAAACACATGAATGTTAAAGATTATATCCATACTACAGACAAAACTTATCTACAGATTATGCATACAACTCACATACACATATATGCTTTTTGTATAATAATGTTAAATTGGTTATGGACCAAATGATACTATTTGCTACTTACTTCTCTTTTGAGTAGTTTAGTAAATTTTGGCAGAAATACTGGTTGTAAAACAGTAAAAAGTGAACATTTCACCAAATTCCTATTGATATGTATAAATATTTAATGTGGAAATTATGTGAAAAAAGTTGATAATCTAATTATAGTTATCTATATACCAGTCATGGATGTAATTGCATTGCTACTATGATTATTATAATTATTATTATCATTATTATTACTGTTTAGTGCCTTCTAAAATTCTGTATCATTACATAGTTCAAATAGACAATGGTCGATAAATAGGACAGTTTATCGGTCTAAGCCTTTAACTTATTTATAAACGATAAATCAGTTATTTTTATGTATAATGATTGATAAAATGAATGAATGCCTATCAAACGGAACATTATTATTATTATTATTACTATTATAGCATGCGTAATTATCAATCCGTCTGTCAGTTATATCAGAATTATACATAAAGAAAGCAGAATTTTCAAAATAACCGCCATTATTTTCAAGATTCAAGAATAATTACTCACTAACAAAATAGATCACTTGTTAATTTGTAGATTTTTCATTTTGAAAATAAATGAAGTAAATAGAGTGAAACATGAGTCTTTATTTCTATTCTCTCATATAGATATATATATTTTTAACTTCTATCTGTATCAGTTTCTTTCACCGCCTTTTCTCCCAAACAATTAACTTTAATTGTCTGTGCTAGTCTGCACAACTTGTTTGAACACTCAAACAAAACGAATCAATTTTTCGAGCGGATTTTAACAGTAAACCACCAATTTTCTGCTTTCATTATTCTCATATAGACCTTAACTACTATATATATGTGCATTTTACGGGAAATAACTTTGAGTATTAAGTGTACGCATTTCACGAAACAATTACACTTAATAGCTACTCTTATGAATTACTCATTATCATTAATGTATGAAGCTGAAAGATAGCCAGTAGTACAGATCTCGTTACAGTGGAATTATCAAATCTGGATAAGTAGTCACCTACTGTTTATCATCTTCTAAGCCAACTGCAGCATGATTAGTTATAGATTAGATTTCCTTCTGCACATTTGTTCGGTGAATGCTTGGTTGGCTCGTTGCCAACCACAGTGACGTTCTTGCTACTTATTCTTTCTGGCCATCTGATCTTGAGTAACAAGCCAGTGTAGGTGGCATTTGTTGAAGAATGCCTGTAGTTTATTGGAAATACCTTTCGTAACAAAGTCCAAAGGAATAATCACCTGATACTCGAAAATACAACGGCCAACGTCTTATAGTGGTAATTTCTCATTGTTGATGGTATGTTCAGCAGCAAATAAACTGGCTGTGTTCATTTTCTTCGTCTATGTGACTTCTTTTATGATAAACCATTATAGAAGTCATCAGACTCTAATACTATCTTGTGAGTTAACTTTCTGTCAACCCACCACCACCACCAAAAAGGCACATTTAGTTTGTACAGTTCAGATGTACAATATAGGTAAGAGTTTATTTCAGCCTCTTTTATAAAATCTAGATGAGATCTCACATCGTATACCAAAAAGGAAATAAAGACTGCTGTTTATTCCTTGAAAGCATAAATCATCTCAAACCAGACTATGCAATCCATAAGCATATCATGTCTTCAACAAATGCTGCTGTATATTTATTGTCTTGAAAACCTGACGAATGTCAATTTGAAGCCATTCAAATGGATATTTATCTTCCCTATAACTGAATATTTATATATTTGAATAATCTATGATATATGTTTCGTCATTTTTATTCTTACTGTAAGTCTTATTAACGATGGCAAGTCATACTAGTTGTAGAACTTGAGGGCATTGATGAAGCCCATTTATATGTCAGATGGTTTCCCTTGGTCACAGACGAAACAACATACAAATCCAGCTGGTTTCAACTCAGCAAAAATACTTTATCTGGATCTTGTATTCATCACATTCGATGATCATTGAAATCGCAGTTTCTGTAGTTAAACAAAAACCTTGGAATAAAACGAATTCACTTTTTTTTCTGGAAACACAACTATCCCTTGGGGTTCAGTGAATCTTATTAGTGTCTCGGTAATAACATTTCTGATGTTATTTAGATTTCAAGACATATCTAAATGATGCTTTCAGATACAGGCCTGCTCAGTGAACAATCACTGGAAACTCCGATGAAGAATTCCTCAAACACTGTAGGTGAAGAGTAAAATTCTAATGGAACTTTTCGTGAACATATTGTATACGGGAAGGAAAATTTGATAAGCTGTGGTGTACTGAATGAATGTTTTACTAATCATACATCAGTGATCACATATATGATCTTGAAGCTGGTTTAGATTAAGTGAAAGATTTATACACTCGGAAAGGAACTACTCACATCTTGAGCGAACTAAAAATTTCTTAAGTTTAGTGAAGACTTATCGCACTAATTTGGGCAGTATACTAAACTGATCAGTTAGTTGACAGCTCTTTGAGAGGAATATAGCTTGTTATAAAAGATAAGGAAATATTTCAACCACGTGTATCAAATCATATTTAACATAACAGTTAACACAGTTGTACAGCCTTACTCCCTTAGAATGGCCTGGCAGACAGAACAAGAAGAATTTTGCATGTAAACTACAATGAATAAAGAGCTGAATAATATCAGGGTAAGAATGCTCAGAGAAGTTTAAGAAAGCTGGTTGCCATGATCCAAGGTAAAAAAAAAACAACTATTAACAAGCTTGCTGTCTCAGTTAGGGTAAGCTGGCAGAAAGTCACACGAACAAACTCTGGAGATCTATAAAGAATAAGTGCCTAACAACCACTTCAAAAATAACTTGTATAAATAAGTGGATATTATCAAGCAGTGGTAAAGATATAATTCCTTTTACATTACTACTTTTATAAAATTGTGGATCAAATTACTCAGGTTTCGTTATTCACTACAGAACACCTGTGAAGTCTCTGTTATACAGTGATGAACAGCACTCATCAGTTAGATTAGTTGATGAAGTGTAGGGTAGAAAAGACCATCACTGACCCCATTCATTTCCATCTAGAAGATACTCATCAAACATTATATATAATAATTAGACTCACTTTCTGAGTAATTTCAAAAGCGCCTAATCATCTACCATGAGAACTTGAAGTTCATCTTGTAAAATCATTAGGCCAGTGGAGCTGAAAGTTTGAACCCGGAAACAGTTGATGAATTTATGACCATTCATTCATTTCCCAGCTAAATAATTCAGTTCTAGACTTCTCCAATGAAGTGCGTATGAGTTGTTACGTTTGTTGCGAATAGTTAAGTCTATTTGACCCCCTTGTATTCTTAAGCTATCCTTAGGTTATTATCCTCTCCTAAATCACTTCATATTTCTGCTGGATGTTGATTTCTTACTTGTTGATACCACTTATACTGAACGGGTGAATCCAGTAATTTAAAATAAACTGTTTCATCCATTCGATCTAAGAAGTAACTAGCTATAATATTCTATTGTCATTTTTCGACTTTAAATAACTACAATGCGTCTGGGGAAAATATTGTAGTTAAAAGTTGAACCTTGTTGAAAATCGACTGAGAAGAAGTAATTAATAACTTGTTCAAGATTCTAAACCAATTCTATGCTACATTTGTAAGTAAAACAATCCCTGCAGACGGCCAACAACTGAGTCCTCACCAAAACTCACATCACTAGTCTGTGCACTGTCAGTAAGAAACCTTATTAAAGTGCGTGATTCATCTTGGCTTTGACAATTTGTTATATTTCCGCTAATTCATATCCCATAACTACATTGGTAGATGGGGCTAGAAAATGCTTTCGTCTTAGAGGTAGTGACCCTGCATATCAACGAGTAATATTATAATTTTATTATTTGTTCCTTTGAGTTTCTAGTGGAACATACCGATTCAGTAGCACGTCTCCACTCCACTCTACTCTACTCTCTGAAATCTTTTCAACCTGGCTCCACGACAGCCCACAACCTCTCATTTCTTCCTCACATCATCTCCTCCATGTCACCATCGTCTCCGACGGTTACACTAGAGTACCTCCCCTGGTGTGTGATGTCCCCATTCGACCTTCTCAGTGTATACCCAACTCACCTCCACTTCCTTCTGCATATTTGTTGAGCAAAAGCTTCTTGGATGGTTCGTTGCCAGCCAGCCAGCCAGAGTTCCTTGTTGTTTATTCTTACTATTCTGGCCATCTGATCTTGAGTAACAAGCCAGGGTAGGTGGCAGTTGTTGATGAATGTCTATAGTTTGTTGGGAATCCCTTTCGTAGCGCGCCAGGTCTCTCAACCATACAGAAGCACTGACTTGACTGATGTTGGTGTTGAAAATCCGCATGTTTTTCACGCTTATTGCAGACTGAGTGCAGAAGATCTCTACACTGGTTTCAGGTTTATGAACACCTGTCTTGCTGTGTTTCCGATCCTAACTGGCTTTGACGTCCTTGTCTGTACCTGTGCCGCCTGTAGTTGAAACAGTGCTGCCTAGATAGATGAAAGAGGCTACTTCCTTTAAGTTCCTCCCGTTGATGGTGAGTGGAGCTTGTTGTAGTTGTTGTTGTTGGTGGTGGTGGTGGTGGTTGTTGGATATCATCATCACCTCTGTCTTTTCTATATTCCCTTGAAGTCCCGTCTTCGCTGACTCAGCTGTCAACTTGTTAGATTTTGCCTGTAGATTTATGAGTTTGTACTACATTAGACATAAACCATCATCAGCGAAATCCAAATCTTCCAGGGTCTCTACGCCGATCCAGTGTATCCCCCTCTTCTCGCTCCTCACTGTTTGTTGCATGATCCGGTCTGGTCGACCACAATCAAAGAGATCATCGGTCATGATGTAGACAGACTTGTTTTACTTTTTCCTGTTTTCACTTCAAAGGCGTCGCTGAGCTTCCCATTGTGAATTACTCGGCATGTGGCATCGTCATATAGTTGTTGAATGAGGCTGATAAAGGTTTGTGGTATTCCGTAGTATTGAAGCAGTTTCCAAATTAATTCTCGGTCGACGCTGTCAAAGGCCTTCTCAAAGTCGATGAAGTTGAGGTAGAGAATTGAGTTGACTGTCATTCTATACTCTTTTCTATGATGATGCGAAGCGTTACAATTTGGTCCACATATGATTTGTACTTTATGAAGCCTGCCTGTTCCAGTCGTAATTTTGAGTCCTGCACATCCTTTAGTCTCTTAAGGATGATGCTGCCTAATATTTTACTTTGGGTGGACAGAAGCATGATTCCCCGCCAGTTCTTGCAAATACTTAGGTCTTCCTTCTTCGGGGGTTTGACAAGGTAGCCATTCTTCCAATCCGGCAGCAGGTACCTTTCCTTCCTTCCAAACCTTCTGCAATAGTGATGTGGTGTGGGCATGTCCACTGTTGTCCCTGCATCTTCTCTCAGTGCTCCTGGCGGGTAAATAGTGATATCAAACAACAACTGATACCTGTCACATAAGAATAAGCTTTCATACCCCAGTGATCTGGTGAGTAACGCCGTTGCATTTGAAGCGAAGGGTATTGGTTTAGATTCTCAGTGAGAACAACTCAACTCACTGGGTTTCTGGTATACCCAGCTGACGAGTCGTAAAGGGAACGAAATTCATATGCTAGTCA